TTTTATTGTAAATGAACAACGGGAAATTTAATTTGTGAAAAATGGGAGATGATGTACGAGACGGGCGAGAAGGAGGAAAAGAGCGACAACAGCGAGCGTGTGGAAGCGAGACAGAGAGAATTTACAACACGAATAACAAATAATGCACGGATTAAGTCGAAGAGCAAACGAGAGCATTTTTGGGATGTTTGGAAAAGTTTTTGTTACAAATGTGCTGATAATGAATGCGGTTTTGTGTGCATGTGTGTGTGTGTTAAGGATACAAAACGAAAATTGTCAACAAAGCCGAAACGATGGCACTCTAATGATGACGATAATTGTGATGGCAGGCGCAACTATATTGCGGACAAAGTTACCGAAGAAGACAAACGTTTTCAATTTCGCTGGGCAATTCATAAAGAATCAAAGGCGGTTAAATGGAGCATTGGGCGATGGTGGTGCGATTGAGTGTTGGGACAAGACGAAATAAGAATAGAGGAAGCGACAAAGAGAGAAAAAAGCAATCTCTTTTCAATTTCAAGTCTAAGCTAAATTGCTTTTGGATTCGGTTTTTCGAAATGCGGTTGAAAAATTCCGCCGCACTCTTGCTCATACATGTGCCGTGTATGTGAGCTTATTTCATAGTTTATTAGAGAGACAAAGGTAAAATGGGAAGTGAAAGCGATGTGCGGTTTATGCTTCAGCCATCCATTTAATACACATCAAACTTTTGCTGGCGAAATTGAAATGACAATTCGACAATAAAACCGAATCCACACAGCAATCACTGTTGTGTACAACTGCTTACAAACTCGCTCGCTTCGCATCCGCAAACATGTTCGAACACTCACATATTGAATATGAAATGCGATACGCGATTACATTGAAATTCGATGGTAATTCATTTCTCGTTGTGAAATGTGCGCTTGCCGTGCGCTCGCTTCGCCTGCACAATACGAAACACATTTCATTCAGCTGAGTGGGATGGGGTGAGTGCATCACATTCCGATGAATTACGTAAAACGGACAAACCGAACCGAATTTATATTGTCAATCCAAAATCATCCAATTGGAAAATCAAAATACCAAAACCAAATTCAGCGTTCAACGAATGATTCGGTTGCCGTTGTTATTGCTGCTGCTGCTGCTGTTTTTTTTATGCTTTGGCGAAGCAATTCACATTTCTCTCACTCGTTTGACTATTTCTCGCTCGGTGAACCAATCGACTTTATCTTTATTTTCGCCCAATTTTTTTTCCGTTCGGTGTGTTTGTGCCGCTAGATTTTTTCTCCAACGGAATCCATTTTCTGATCAATTTCCGTACATTTGTATTTATCTACCTCGTCGACTATTTTTATTGTTGTCGGTTCGCATGCACCAATTCAATTGAATTCCAAATCTTTTTTTTTTTACTCCGATATTGTAGTTTTATGACGTACACACATGCTCACGAACCGACAAGCAACGACATACCCCAATGAGCACATCGAGAAAGAGTCAGCGCGATGCATGAATAACGATAACGAACAAAAGGAGCAATGCTAAATGACGATCAATTTTTTTTCGGGCTGATTGCGCACAAAATAATTTTTTTTTCTTTCGTGTTTTTTTTTTCGTTTTCGGTCGATTCATTTAGAATTCATTGAATGCGCATATCTTTGTATGTAACATGTAGTCTATATGAAAATGGTGTAGCACGCTCAAAAGAGCCAAAGTGCACACGTAAACTGTCGTATTTTTGCTGCGTTATGCACACGCTACATAATCTTCAAGCCAACAGCATAAAGCGACACGACAGTGAAAGAGTGAAATAGAGTGAGCGAGATAGTGGCAGAGTGAGTGAGCGAGCGGCAGAGAGATTGTGAGTGAGAGAGAGAGAGAGAGAGAAAGAAACAGCGAGAGAGAGAGAGAGAGTGAAGTAATAGAGTGAGAACGAAAAAAAATTGAAATGGAGAAAGAGATAAAGGTGAGCATAAATCAAGGGAAATAATAATATCTCAGCCTTTCGCTTCATATGATTTGCCACGTTTGGGAATTTCTTCCATTTTTTCCGCCGCTTGTTTGTGTCGCAGTGAGAAATGAACAACCATAAATGATGCACTTTATCGTATTTCGTGAAACGATTTTCGGAGCGTTGTCAATGTTGCGTACATTCGGATGAACAAGGGAAAAAAGAAGTTAAAAGCAATTATAAAGTGAAATCATAATTCACATCTCAATGCAGTTGTGCGTTGCAGCTATTTTCAGTTTTAAAGGAAAACCTTCTTGGTATGCCTCTTACCTAGTGGATCCAATTCGAAATGTAGCGAGAGAAAAAAGGGACGAAAAGAATTCAAACTAAAACGTTCTCAGGTGTCGTTTGCTTACGTAAAGTGATTTCCATTATTCCCTCGACGATTCACAAGGACAGATGTGCTGCTGCAAGTCTTTTATTGTTATACTTTTTTTTTCGGTGTTTTTTTATCCGTCGTCGGTTCGTCTGCCGGTTATTCTTCGAAGGAATCACTTCGAAAAGCGAATATATGGCCAAATAAGCAAAAGAAAATTATGGCATAAAAAGATAAAGACCCTTTTGCAAGGGTTGCAAAATGCATGGCACAGAAGAAAAAATAAACGAAGATATTATGAGTTTATCTCGGCAACAAATCCATTTGAGCATTTGATGTCCGGCAGCACAACAGAGATCATATGTTCAAAGTGAATCAGCTCATTTTACGCAACTTAATACAGCCATCTCGATGCAGTGCACAAATCGAAACTTGATTATCGTTACTATGAATATTCAGCAAAACAGAGAGGGATTCTTTTTAACGTTTAACGTCGCCGACCTGCAGAAATGGTTTCTCAAAAAAAGAAAGGAATGAAGATACTTTTAGTAGCGCAAGATGGCAACGAAAACTCTTCTATTCGACAGGAGTCATTGACATTTTGAAATGGAAAAGTCTTGCTTAAAATCAGAAACGACTTGTTTAAATATTCAACGGACATCTGTGTGCAACTTTTTTTTTCGCTTCTTCTCCAAAACGATTTTGGTAAATTCGAATAAAATGTAATTTTGTTCTTCATTTTATGTTAAACCAAACGCGAGTAATTAATGTGGGCGCTTCGTTTGCAATAAATAATGTCATTTTTGTGTATTTCATGTTCCTCCCAAATTGTGTTTGTGCTCATTTACGGGCAGCAATGGGTTTGAGTGATGAAGGAAGGCATTCAAAAAGTTGTTTGCCGGAAAATTCCGATCCCTTTCGAGGTTTGTCGAAAGGAATGAACCCCGAACGCTGCAAAGCTGCTATGCTCTAGTGCTGTGAGTAAGGTGAGGTGTTGCTTTTTGCGTCTTCAGACATTCAGAATATTTCCGCATAGCACATATTCCCCTTCTGTCTTGGGTCACGATAATCATGGTGCCGGCTTCAAATTTGTGTTAATTTACACGCATGTTAAAGTCACATCTTCACCATCCGTTTCATGATTTCGTTGCCGTTTTTGTTGGCTTTTGTATATGTTCATTATGCAGACCCACACATGATGCAATAACGACCGTTACTAAATACATTTTTTTGCTCATTTTTTTGTTCCGTTGCCATGAAACAATGAACGTTCTTCCCATTTAGGGTACACTGAAATGTCGAAAATTCGCAATTTTCGCAGTTGTTTTTCCATTTGCATCGCATGAGTGCTATGCGCGGCGGAAAAAAATGCGGCTGTATATCATTGTGCTGAACAAGTGCCTTTTACAAGTTAACATGCGTTTCCTCGTTCGCCTTTTTTTTTCACTTGTGCTCTCGCTTTTTCATTGACTTTGTTACATTTGAGCGGCGCGCATCCAAGAGCAATTAATTCATACATAATTATAATAATGTGCTCATTTAAAATTTTTTACTTGTGTACTCGACAAGCACTTAACGGTTGCCCATACGTAGTCTTTGTGTGTAATTTATGCCGTTTCGACGAAGCCAAAATAAAAATGAGGATTTATGGAATCACAACGACCGGCAAAAATGAGCATAGAAGTCATGTGTTTTGGAGGGAAAAAATTGAAAAAAAATTTCGGTGGAAAGATGGAATAAATTTCATTAAATATTTTAATCTTTGTTAATGAATTGGACAGTCTTTCTGAGCTGGAGTTTCCAACGTTCGACGAAGGAACGGTATGTGGATAAAAAAGAATAAGATTTAAAGCGATATGTAAAAAGAACAGATTCAACGCTAGATTTATCGTGTGCGATAGATAAATTCAGTTTGAAAAATAAACTCTACTGAATCGGTTGAATATAGTCAGTTTTATTTAATTTTTCCACTACACGGCTATAATACACCAGATTACACCATACATATAGTAAATAAAATAAAAACGAATTCAGTGTTGTAATCACTCTTCGAAAATTCTCTTTTTAATTAAATTCCAAATGAAACTAAATATTGAAAGTTCATCGTATTTTTTGAGGTTGAAACTTTTGTTTATTTCAGTTTGTTTCTCTCTTTCTCTATTTATTTAAGGTTTTTCTTTGTTATTTACAAAAACGTATTTCAATGGTATTCAACAACTGTTTTGCTCTGTATCTGAATCTAAATTTGATTACATTGTAAACAAACACTTGCACGAAGTATCCATTTCGAAATGAACAAAATTAATGATTTCGAAGTGGATTCATGGAATTGATAATTTTGTCTATAAAAAATGTTGTAGTTTTCCGAAAACAAGCAATATTTGATTGACAAACATATTCGGCGAAAATTCGTTTGAAATTACTCATTCATCCAAATTGTACTATTTCTCGTCCGGAAACTTTCCTTCAGCTGCTGTTAAATTGTAAATGATGTAAAAAAAAACTCAGCAAAAAGCCAATTTGTACCTTTCCACTCGCAATTTTTTTCCTCGCCATCATAAAAATTATTCAATTAAATAATGATGTGTCATTTGCGAAACAGTCAAATGAGGTCCTCAAATGACAATTAACCAGTCAATTGAATATTGCATGCAGCGAACAAAAGAGAGAAAAAAAATGAAACGAAAAAACCCATTTGAATATTATCCGAGTTTTTATTGTTATTGTTACATCGTTACAATCGTACAATTATTATTAATATATAATTTAAATTAATTACGAATTATTTCGTGTGTGTGTTTGTTCACACAAAAAAAAGAGTTTACGTTCCATCATTTGTTTAATGCCTAGATTGCTTTTTAATTTGTGTTGCAATTGTAAAAATTATTCTTCATCATGTTGGGGTTAGTTGATTCCGTTTGATCAAAATATAAAACAAATAATCAAAAGTTCGTTTGCGTTTCGAATGAAATTGAAAAAAAAAAAAAACTCACTCACTCGTCCAGGGAGAGCGAGTGAAGCGCGCGCATGGGAGTAAATTGGAAAAACAGTCGAAAGAGAAAAAAAGGTCATGAAATCAACTTGTTATCCGTATGACATCTTGAAACGCAGTACATCATATAGCACTCAGTTTTTGTTTGTTTTAGCACTCAGTATATAGGAAAAGTAACGAAAATGGGCAAAAAAATAGCGATCCAACATATTCTCAATTTACTAAACTGGTTGTCATCTGTTGTGACATCAAGTTAGTACAGAAAATCGGCTCACACATATACATGCGCTCATGTCCAGCGGTGGCTGGTACTAATGTAGCTCCCAGTTGCATCGGCTCACACGGATTCACCCGAGAGAAGAGAAAAAAAAAACTGGTCGAATTTGACAAACCATCAACACTTGGCCAGCATATCCATTCAAATCCACATGAAAGCATCGAATTTACAGCGAAACAAAAATATGCGAGTGTGATTTCGAATGATTGTACAGTGTAGCACGCGCGGACGCAGGCAGTGCAGAGGGTGGGAGATGTTTTCATTACAATTAAATTCGTACATTTTGCCTATTTACATATTTATGTGTCGATGCCAGACCCAGCGAAAACAAAAAATCAAATTTTTGCTCGCGACGACACACACACACACAAACTTTTATTTTACTTTGCAGTTTAATTTTCATCATTTATTGAAAAGCGAGTAAAACGAACCAGCGAAAAAAAAAATCAATCGTCCGCTTTGGCAAAATTGCATGCATTTTAATTCAGCATGTACCGTGTGCAATGAATGACGGATATATATTCATCATGGTTTGATTGTTGCTAATGGATCACGTATTTTGTTGTTGTTGTTGTTCTCCTGAACTTTTAATTCTATTTCGATTGTGCGCTTTTTTTGTTGTTGATGTTCTGAGTTGTTTGTTCGTTGTGGGGCTAATCAAATGGCTTTTTTTGTATGTTTTTTTTTGATTGTTGTTGTTTAATTAATTCTAAGTGTTTTTTTTTCTTTTGTTTTTAATGCTCTGTGATTGAGTGTATGAATTGAACTAAATAGATGGCAGCACATCACTCAGCAGTTCTTTTTCCGATGCGGTTAGCTTTTCGGGGAATTTGATGTCAAAGGCAACGAGCATATCGCCTTTTCTCGATGGATCCTTTGGCAATGGCAAACCATATCCAGTTATCCGTTTCACTGTATTCGGCTTGATCACCTCTTGCATCGTACTAATCCGCAGTTTGTCACCGACCAACGTTGGAACCTCAAACACCACACCGCATAATGCCTATGGAACAGAGAAAAAAAAAGTCATGTAATCAGTAAGGATTAACAGGATCAAAACTAAAACAGCCCCGCTAATGAATAGTGTCGTCCGAACAGAATGCGTTTGGTTGTTTCTTTTTCAGCCAAAACCAACTGACAACTATAAATTGTGTCTACATCCAATGACACTTGCTCACATATTTTCAACAGAAAAAATAACAACAACCCACACAACAAATATTTTACTACATTGACGAGAAAAAAAAAGTGTGATTTTGTACGCAAAATGTGCGAACAAAAAAAAAAGAGAACAAATTAATTAATTTTCAAGCACATATTAAATATTTGATGAAACCAGCGCATCTATTATGGGACAGAGAAGAAAAAATAATGATTATTTCACTACCATTTTAATGCCTAATCATTTGGTGCGTGAAATTTTCAGAATTGGAAATGCCTCACTCGCATTGGTGGTGCTTGAACGGCAGTTAATTAAATGCGCTAATTAATGATATTAGAATATAAATTTGTGTGCGTTTGCTCATGGCGTTAATGGAATTACCCCAAAATTCGATCAATAATTTCAATTAATTGAAAATATTTCGCGAAAGCGCGCGTTCCGACAAAATGTTTATCAGTTTAATTCGAAAATTGAACGATTTCGATTGCCATCTCCATTGAATAGAGATAGAGAACGTCATCGTGTGAAGTGTTGATGTTTTAAACAACATTTTCAATTTTGCTTCGTGATAAATGGAATTAGTGCAATTGGGAAAAATACGGACGGCATTTTGTTTGACGTGTATCGAGAATTGAACTGAAAATGAAGTTGAAATTGAACTAAAAAAGTTCAATTAACTTAAAATCGAGCACACAAATCGAAAGGCGCTGCATTTCAAACGAATAATGACTTTGAGCCAATTAGTGCCGATTTCACGTTGAACTAACGTCATTAAAAATTTTAGCTCTCGATATCGACATTTGAACCGATGCCAATGATTCTATATCGAGATTGTTGTTGTTCTATATTCGTTTGCGAAAGACGTCATCATCTTCATCTTTCTTTTGATCCGGAAGAGAATTCGACGATGTGTTGACAGAAACTGTTTGAGGCTCCGTATTTTGTCGGGGCGCATCATGACTCAAATTTGGATATGTAAATATTTAAACATTTTGAAACGTCATGATGAAGATATCCGATTTTCATCAAATGTTCATCACTTTGATGAAACCCATAAATGTGCGCTAGCATCGCGGCAAGAAAAAAATATCGCTTTTATGGCTATTTTATGACGGAACGAGAGAAAAGTTGATGCGTCCATAAAGCAGCTTATTGAAAACCAATTTGTCAGTGTGCAATTATTTCCATTTTCGATTCATCGGCCAAATGCGATATGTATTAATTCGTTCCTGTCGCAAAAATTAATTAAAATCACTCAAATGTCAGTGTGTATTTGGTTATCTTCCGCATTTTATCAATTCCTGAAATAACTCTTACATATAGAAAACGTTTTGAGCAACAAAAGCAGCAGGAAAAAAATCCGTGAAGGAATTGAAAAAAAAGGATTGGAAAAAAATCTGAGTCGAATGCGCGCAATCGATGTGGCTGATAAATTCCGTCGAGTGGATTTATTTGTGCTGACCGCTGGCCGTAGTGTTCGCACATATGTAAAACGCATAAATTATGGTTTCAGAATTGCACCACGCTCTCTCTCTGCCCCTCACCGTTCTTTTTTCTGCATTCTCGCACGTCGCATTTTTAATGCATTCGAATGAAATTAATGTTTTGTACTCATTTTGAATTAAATTTTATGTCGCGGTTAACGGCAAATGATGAATGAAATGCAATACACAGCAATTACATGGCACACAAAGAGCGGCCAGAAAAAAACTCCGCACCGTGTTCGATTGAAGTTTACCACAAAGATACACGATTGAATAATTTAAAATGAAAACAGTATTCTCCGGGTGGTGGTATTTTTTTCCTATGTCTGTGGTCATCAATTTTCATTTTATTTCGGGGATTATTTCAAACGAAAGCAACCAACAGCCAATGATGATGTGACCAGAATCGATATGAATCTCGTTGTTCATTTCCTTTGGATTGCTGTTTTGTTTCAAATATTTCCGATGTAATTGATTTATTGGTGTTGTATACAAAATAGAATCTCGTTTACATGCGTGAAAAAATGCGTAAAACGAAGAAAAAATCATCGTGAATCGAAACCAAATTCACATGAGATTTACAATCAACGGGAGCGAAAAATATTTTCATTTTCATCGAATTTAGCGCAAAATTTCTTGGTTTTTGTTTCAGTTGCATGTGCGGCGCTGGTTCAAGCAAATGACATGCCCAACAAATCGATTTCCACAGCTACAGGCCATCATTTCCATTTATGTACATCATCAATCATGACAATAAAAATTGAATTGGCTATTTTTACCATAAATGCGCGGCTGCACAGCACAAAAACCAGCCGACACACACAAAGAGAGAGAGAGAGCCTAGTGCTGTATTACAGCAATTTAATCGATATAATAATATATATTTTGGAAGGCGGAAGACACTGAATGGCAGCCTGATGCGGCTGAATCACAATTTTATGACAGATTCATATTTTCCGTATGGTCAGACACAAATTAGCGACTTTTTTTCTTCAAAATGAGAATGAGCAGAGATAGAGAGAGAGAGAGAAGAAACAATCTTCTTTGAATCACTTTGCTAAGAAAGGCGCTCGCTCGCTCGCTTGCCTACAAAAGAATGCGACAAAAGTTGAGAGCACAAGAGAGATAAAAACGGCAAAAAGCTATTTTGCAAACGGCACTTTTTGCGAACCGCTTCCCCGTTCACATTCTTCTTCTTCGCTTTTTAAGCGATCGATGCGGCGATTTGCATTCAGAATATTTCGATTACTGAAGTTTTATCGCTGTTGTTGTTGGTGTCATTGGTTTTCTTTTTGTTTTCTCTCTTCGCTTTTTATGCGCACAGAGCAATGAGACAAACCACTTGGGAATGGATAGAATTGGCGACAATAATTCTACGAAGTAAGAAAATAAATCATGATGGGCACGGCCGATGTGGCAGCATCAGAAAAAAAATAACCCAATGCATACGTAAACAAAATTGATTGAACCGTTTTTGAAAAAAAGCCGTTCTTAAGCCACAAATATAAATAAATTTCACGTAAATTATAATTGCATTACAGTTTATAATTGCGATGAACGATTTAATGGTCAATGCTGTGGCTGGATTATTTACCAACTCAATCTGCTATTTAAAAATCCGTTTATAATTATAAGAAAAGCAATCGCAATTCATTTTTTTTTATTTTATCGACACACGATTCGATCGGAATGACATGCCGATTGCGATACCGAATTTTATTGTTTTGCTCTTGTCATACCGTGACTTTATCGATCATTTAATCTGCCATGAGAGAGTCTCGCGCTTCGTCGGCAATGACTCATCCGGTGTATTGTTTATTCCATTTACCACACGTAACCAACATTGTTTTCAACCAATAAAAAATAATTAAATGACTCTGTCGTTTTTGCTGTCGTGGTTGTTGCTTTTTTTCTCACTGAAGCAGAAAAAAATGGATTCAATTTTGGTGTGTATTGTTATTTTTTCGAACAAAATTGAGTTGAAAGTCGGATGGCGAGATTTGTTGTGACAAGCGAGTGCTTTTGTGTTTCATTCGATTTGAAAGCGGATTCTATAACCAAAAAAAAACAATATCTCGTTCAAAAATCCATTCTTTTTTCGACAAATTTGTGTCTCTCTTTTACACGCGCTGAATATTTTGACGTGCACGCTTCCAAGATTTGAGTGTTGTTATATTCAAATCAAAGAGCCATAAAATGAAATGGCCAATTTTACGTGAGCGCGCAAGTGGCGATGGTACGCAAACGATCATTCAACCGAAATGATCTAATGGTCTGTCATATTTGGTAAAAACGAGGTCGAATTATTGGCTGGCCTGACCAAAAAACGAACCACTTCACACATTTTCATGCAAATGTCGCAAAGAAAGATGTTGGCTTAGACAACATTCTGCTGTTCTTCGGACAATTTTGGAATTTCGCTAACGATTGGCGAATAAATTAGAAATTTACTTGTTTAAGTGACAAACGGGCTGTGTATCGAATATCGCTTCCTTCTCGCTTGTACAGTTGATGTGGCTTATCGCGAATGACAAAGACGATGTCGGCTGGAATTTTTCCTTGTGTTTGATCGCCCTCTTTTTGGAACGTGACACGCGTGCCAGATTTCCAGCCCGGCTTGATCGCTATGTTCACCAATTTATCCTCTTTTTTCGGCGTTCCGTCCGCTTGCAGTATTCGCCGGGAGATTTTCATCTTTTTAACACAGCCTTTGTTGATTTCCTCGAGTGTCGCATACAAATCGTGCTCGATTGGTGGATCTTGCGTCTTTGTCTCTTTTTTGGGTGTATGTACGTTGAATGAATGTGATCTATAACGAGTGGAGAGGAGGGAGAAATGAAAAATACGGAGTAGATTCATCAATTTTGTTTGAATTAAAGTAAATTATTGTTTCATACGTCAAATTGGCTACTTCAATGTGAAATTTGAACTTTGGTTGGAAATTGAGTCGAAAAATGAACTTAACGATGAACGAGTAATTTTGAATTTATTTCTTTAAAATCCAATTTAAAATTTTCATTTCCGAAATTCCAACTATGTGTCCAAGGAACAAAAAATTCTCGGTTCGAAAAGTTTCACAGTTCAAAATTAGTTTTTCAACATGTTCCAATTCTCTTTTTTTCTCAAAACCACTGCAAACCTACCTAAATGCACCGCCAAGTCCATGTCTTGATCCTAAACCGCCAAACGGTGAGAAGAAATCTGTGTCTGTGTCCAAATCGAAAACGTTTTTCTCGAACAAATTGTCGCCCATGTCGAAGAACGATGCGAATGGATTGCTTGAGCCGAAAAATTGTGCAAAGGTGGCACGTGGATCGCCGTGGAATTGGTATGTGAAGTTTGAATTGCCGCCATTTGTTTGTCCTGAAAAGAGCAAGTTGTTAAAAATTGAAGTAACGTGTTCCATCAATTCGTAAAGTGTACACTTTTTCATTGATTGCAAGCGTATTTATTGTCTTACCTTGGTTGCCTTTCAATCCTTCTTCACCGTATCTGTCGTAGATGTCACGTTTCTTTTTGTCGGACAGCACTTCGTACGCTTCGGCCACTTCTTTAAATTTCTCTTCCGCGCCAATGGTTTTATTTTTGTCCGGATGATAGCGAAGTGCCATTTTTCTGTAGGCTTTTTTAATTTCATCGTCCTTCGCCGTTTTCGGTATTCCTAAAATTTTATAGTAGTCTTTTCCCATTTTGGTGGTTTATCTGTGTGCGTGTGTGAGAGAAAAAGAGAGCAGCAAAATTGAATTAATTCAACTGTTGTCTCGCAAAGCACAATTATTCACAACAGTGAATGTGGGTCGCTAGCAACTAGGTTAATGTCATGAGTGAATCTGTTTTTGAATTCTTCATTCGTAAAATTTAATCTTTTCGGTCGGTGAATGAGCGAGATAAAGAGAGCGAGAGAGAGAGAGAGAGACTCGCACAATGCTGAAATTGAAATGCGAGATGCGCCCGATTATTTCCGATTGAACAGCAACAATAACAGTCGCAGCCATGCCAGCATGATTCTGAACTGGCTGTCGGCCAAATTGTTGGAGTACAAAACACGCCAAATAAAATGTGCAATGTACATGTACAATGTTCAAATTGTTTACGTTCTCATTGCAATATCAATGAGAGAAAGAGAGAGAGAGAGAGAGAGAGAGAAACGGAAACGAAACTCAATCCGATTTCATTCTATTTATAAGCATGTTTGCATTTTATTTTCTCTCTTTTTTTTGAGCGATTTATTGAGCATTTCTATTCGGTTCAGTCTTACATTGGCATCGTTTCATTGGTGGTTCTTACGATCGTAAATTGAGTTATTGTCAACTTGCACAATGTACGAAGCGAGTAAGAGAAGAGATAAAATTGTGTTGCAATTTAGTGAATACATCGCTGCATTAAAATGGCTATCGAAAATATACTGTGAAATATTCATTGGGAATGGTTGCCAGAAAGAGATAGTGGAAAAAAAAACCTCCATTCAACTGTTATCGCACAACAAACTCGGTCGATTCGTTTGAATAGACAGTGTTATAAATAAACAATGTGTTTCATGGAACATACATTTTTGGCAAAGTCCTGAGTCGTGAATTCGTTGTGTTGTGATTTATAAATTGATAATTGCGCAATTCACTGTGCCGATATGACGCAAACCTCACGTTGAGTGGCATTTTGCGAAGTGAAATTTTAAAAGTAAATAAAATTTAAAATAAATGTTGTTTCATTCGAATTTGCGAAGCAAAGAGCTGAAAATAAAATCCTAGCAAAACCATTGGAAATACCCTCGAAAGAGTGAAAAACGGAGTCATTTAATTGGTTGGCATTAATTGAGCTTTCGAACTTGTCGCTTAAATATTCACCGGCATCACATTAATATTCATTTGTGTTTGGCAGTTTTTGTTGAGGGGGATTTTTTTCGCGATCTAATCAAATATTTGCAAACGAAGGATTGTGTTCAACGACATCCGACCAGTAACATGTTTATTCGATCAGAAGTCGTTGAAGAATTTATGAAGTTCGTTCATCGAATTTGCGATTCAAATGTACCAGCGACCGGTCTTTCATTTTTAATTGTTCACGATTCCGGTGGTTCCTCCGCTTGCTTGTTCACTCTGCGGCTTTACCAAACGATGAATAATGTGTCCGAATGAATTGCGCTTCAATTTAGATAAAAATCCACAGTAAAATTCATATCAAATTGAGTTGAAATGTTTTGTGTGTGGCTTGGCTACATGGTAGAGTACGTGCCTCATTAGACTCGTTCATTCTTCGAAGAAGAAAAAAAGGAATCTCCAATGAGAGTGAATGTCGTGAATGACATTTTCGCAGGAAAAATCTTGAGCATGTTCTCATTGTTATTCTTGTTTTCGGGTTTTTCCTCTCCCATTTGATACTCGATCCGGTCGTCATGAGCACTGCCGAGTGTATATACATCGCTTGTTTCGTTCTCTTCATGTGACAACGGTTCGCATGCTTAAAAACAAATTTATTTTCCAATTTACATTTCCAAATATGCAAAGTTTGCTGCTTTTCATAACAATTTATCGTTAACGTCGATTTTAAAACATGACAGCAACAATGAATCGCATCCATTTATTTTTCATTTTGAGGATTCGTTTTTCTTTCGTCGCTTTCTCTTGTCTCTTTCGCAAGCTGACGTCGGTAAAAATAGCTTCGATTTGAATGAAACAATCTCTTTCTCTCACTCTCGCTCAATGAGAGACGACAAACGTCAGCGCAAAGAAATCGCACGACATAGAGTACCAAACACCAAAGGAAATATGAAAAATTATTTGCGAACAAACACTCAAGCCGTCGGCAGAATAGAAGAAATGAAGAAAAAAAACATCGAACTGAAAGAGAATAATCATTTTCTTTTGTACAATTTTTTTTTTCGGTTTTTCCCTCATTTTCGGATCATTTGTGAACGATAGAGAGAAAAAGAGAGTCTCTTGTGACGTATATTTTCTTCTTATCCACGGTTTTCTGTCTCTCTACTTTGAATATTCGTCTCGTTTGCATCGCGAAAAATATACAGTCTTCATGATGTCTTGTTTTCTTTTCGCCGCATTTTTTCCAAATGGACTTTTTCCAATTGGACAATTTCATTTTTCATTTCGGTTTTTGCGAATTCTTTTCTCCTTTTCCTTCTTTTATCTTTTTTGTCTTCTTTTTTCATTTTTTTTTTTAGCTTTTTCCTTCATTTTCCTCCCGAATATTAATGAGTTTTGTGACTGATTTTGCAATGTAATGGATAAGCAAAATTCGGTACATTTTTACATATTGCCAACTGAATTGCTAATGTGCCGAATCGATTGAAGTGGCAGAAGGATTTCGAAATGGATTTAATGAATTTTTTATGCTCTATCAATTAGGTATTACAAGCATAACATCAATCATTTTGCTAAAATAAAAGACCATCAATCAACGAAATGAAGCTTATTTCGGTTTTAGTTTCTCATTCTCGGCCATTTCATAAATTCAAGTCATTTTACCTTCTCTCCATTAAATTTTCTGTAGCATTTTAAGTAAGATTCGAAATAGAATTTACTTTACTCTCGAAATGGAGAGTTCATTTGCTCGACAAACTCGATTGTCTTCATTGTGTTAGCAACGCATTGAAGATGCTGCCACACTCAACAGTACATTGCGAAGACAGGTTAAGGAAAATTAAACTCCCAGAGATACACGGCACGAACGACACAACGGCAAAACTTTTGCGTTTACATTGAAAATTATGAAGTCATTGGAAATGATAACAATGTAGAAATACTTGTAAGACTCGCATCGAATGAGTGGCACTAAAGAGCGTGGGCTCCGTTGATACAACCGCTCGAAGTGCAAACAATGCCATTGTGCCGAGAGAGAGAGAAAGAGAAAAACCGAGAAAAAACGACGTACAGAAAAACATCAGCTTAAATAAAACAGAAAATGCGAAAATTTCAACATGAAACATAAATACCACATAAAATGGAACTGGAGTTGCAAATAATGGTCTAATTGTTGTGATAATGTTTTTGGTGCTGTAATTGGACGCAATTTACAGTATAAATTTTAATTTGCCATCGAATTCATCGAAAGCCATCGTTGTTGGGGCAACAATGTTGGCTGCGAATGTTTTAACGTGTTCACTGAGTTGAAGTGGTCTTTTTTCTTTTGAAAATGATTTGATTAAGTCGTGTTAAAACAATAAACACGTGCAACCGTTTGCTTGCACTTGAAATCAATTACGAGCGAACGGCTGTCAAGTGCGTGTATCGCTGCCAAATGCATCAACTGACTTTGCCAAAAAAAGATAAACAAACTTGAAACGAAGGAGTACATTAAAGATGAAGAAAAGGCAGACGCAATGCATGCGGCCTATTTAACGAGTATTTATTGAGCTGTCAGCGAAATATTAAGCCATTGCGGAAAGAAAAGAAAAACTGTATACAAATCGAGAGCAAAACAAGAAGTGCATGAGTTGCCTACATCATCCGTGTGTGTGTCATTGTAGCCGAAAGAGAGAGAGAGAGAGAGAGAGAGAGAGAGAGAGAGAGAGAGAGAGTTGTGTGAAGTGATTGTGTTTGACTATAAACTAAATAAACAATTGACCACAAGCGCTAAAACGCTCTGTCTGTATGATATTTAGCGAGCGCTTAAGGCGTTTAGCATATGTTGGCCATATAAATGCCAAATATTAAGCGAACCTCAAGGTCAATGACGAACGAAAAAAAACTAGAATGAAAAAAAAACTAAAGAATGAAGAAGGCGAAGAGAAGAGACGGGATAGAGAGCAAGAAAAACAGAGACCAACGCGAAAAAAAACCACATCGTTGCAAATGAAGTGTAGTGTTGATAATGAGATCGTGACACAGAATCGGTCAATCGTCGTGTGTGTTTTGTGCTGTATTTTTTTTCGCTTTTGGATGATTATACTAATTTGTTGAGCGGATCATTTAAATTACGCCTCACATTGAAAGCCCCATAAAATGTGCATGCTCCGAAGTGAACATAAACAACTTATCGCATGCTGAATCTATTTAATGGCTTACAAATTATGACTCAATAAAACAGAACACACTGAATAAATCGCTGATGATTTGTTTCCGACTGCGCCGTCTATTTTTACATTGATTTTTTCTACAAATATGATTAATTCGTTTGAGTTTTTAGTAGGTATTCAATTTCACTGAGGTGTGTTCCGGTGCCAACGACACCTTTCTTTCACTTTCTATTCGCCTGCCATTTACTCTCAATGACAGAAGCGAGGTGCATATGACGCTTGTCATTCTAGCAATTTCGTTGACAACCGAAATGAATGGAATATTTTCAATTTACAATTTCTCAAGACAAGGTAGCACACAGCCACAGTCATCCTACTCACGTAAATCGCGAAAATTTGACGACCTGAGCAAGCGATGATGTATGAGTTTAACGTACAAGGCATTTGACGCATGCTCAATTCATCATATTGCTCATTGCTTTTGCGTTTGCTCGAGTATCTTGACTCTGCGTTCGCTCGAGAGACAGAACATCGCACTGGGGCCCGAGGAGTGTAACGAACGATCGATACATATGTATGAGTTGTTTTTTCTTTTTTATTCGTTTAGCTCGATTGACGATCTCATCTATTTTGGTCGAATCAAGTGGGTGTAACATCACAATTATACCGATTCGATCGTTTCTTCTCTTCTTTTTTGTTCAGCTTGATTTCATTCGGCGGCCGTCGTTTTCGAATCATCTGCGAGCTAATCAACAACAGCAACAGAACTTGAATCAGAAACACACTTTCCGCATGGAACACACACACACACCACGCACAAAATTTTCAACATCTAATGTCACTGATTTATTTATATGCACGAGCCACAAAGCTCAAATGTTTGCATTCTTCTCTTGTTCCAAATTGCACATCACATTTTTTGTGAAACTTTATAATATTTGGATGATTTTTTTCTCTGTTCAGCTCTTTTGTACATTTCTCGATTAATGAATTTATTAATGATTGAAAATATGCCAAATTGAATGAAATGCAAAAATTTCAACATCAAAAAAATTGTTCCAATTATATTGCATAAATATTCGGCTTTTAATGTCATGGCATCATTGAATAGACGAGGATAAGCGCTGTGTCAGCGTACAGATTTACGACTGGCTTTCGATGAATTTGAATTTGAATTCGATCCGACAGTTGAATGAATGGTCAGAGAGAGAAAGAGAATTCGATTTATTTGAGTGAAGAGAAGAGACAAATAGGAACAGAGAGAGACAGAGCATGCACACATTTCAACACAAAATGAAATCCACTATTGAAATAACCGCTCTGGAATTAATACCATCTGAAATGATGTTGCCAATGGAATTACATAAATTCCGATATACATATTGAATCAATGCATGTGGAATTTGGAAATTATTTGAATTCGGGATTTATTCAAAACTAACAAAAGCACACCGAGAGCCAAAGCATCAGCGACACAGACCACACGACAACCAACCAGGGAAACGAGAGAGTAATCGCATTTCCGTAACGATTTAACTGAAAACTATTCACCGCGTTGTGTTACGGATGGAGTGGAATTGGCCGAGTCATCGGGTAGTTAAGCAGATTTATTGGACAGTCGGATTTGCGCATTTAAATAGAATTTTAGCCAAATAAACCATGAACAACGAAAAACCTCACTCACTCACCCAGTCGCTCATTCGCTCATCTCACGGCTTTGAACTTCAAACAATGAAACGCGCGTCAAGCGCACATAAACTCCATGTTGATTTTTTTTGGTTTGTTCTTTCTTCTTATGGATAGTTTGTGTGTAAAACCACTATCTTTTTTTGCCTGCTGTGTGCTATTCACTATGGTCATTTCGAGTGGCTCTTGACTAAAAATCAACCGTTCCAAAAAACGCTCACATTTTCTACCCAAAACGAAGAAAAAAAAACACACACACACAACACAATCGCTTTTGCGCGATTTACTCTAACGCCAACTGACGGTTATTGAATCATATTTTTTTTTTTGGCGAGAAAAAAGAATTTTGTGTTGTTGACTGCTCTCTGTTCAATATCAACCGGGCGGGAGTAGGCGATTCGCAAATCATTGAGATTATGGTGAACGCGGGCAACAAAATAAAGCACACATCACACTTTCGAAGCAAAATGCGAGGAAGCGAGAAGAAAAAACAAACAATATATGAAATTCATTTGGATTGACACACTTAACGACTCAAGTGTCACATAACCCGTTTAAATGCAATTTATCAGCATGGCATATGTTTAGTGTTTTTGAACTTCACATCGAATTAGAGTCGTGGCAAAAACGCGCTCTTCAATCAAATATTTATTGACGTTCCGAACAATTTTTGAAGGAATTTTTGCGATGATGACACAACGTCAGCACATTTCAAAGTGCAATGGCAGATAGGAGGAAAAGCGGTTCGAAAAAAAAATTGCATGTAAAAACAATGCGTAGAAATTCATCGAGAGCGAATGAACGAGCAAAATATGTTGTCTATATTTTGAATGCATTGATGAATAAATTTTCGGCTTTGGTTAATTGAATGGCTTTTATTGTGTGCATATTTGACATTGCATAAATGCACGCGCGCGTTAAGTATTTTGCTTTAAAATATATCTGTGTGTGTGTATGTGTGTATTTTCCGTTTGGATTAAGAGCCAAAATGGATTTGGATGTTATTTATTTAACTTTGAAATGAGCCAAATGAAAATGCATCGACCAATTTAAATTCAATTGTATGTGCTGCTGTAACATCAGCGGCAGCGGTAGCAGCATCGCAAATCCATTTAAACTGATTTCGTTGATATTGTGAGAGATGTAACTTTTCGGACGGTTCGCAGCGAGTAATCAAGATGATTGATTGTGGTATAGTATACTCATGACATTCGCAAAGATAATAATTAGCTTGAATTCATTAAAATTATTAAGCTTTTGATTCGATTTTGGAAATTAACAGCAAAATCAATACCAAACCAAACACTGACTGACTGACGGTGTGGGTATTGTGAAGTAATCGGCAAATATGGACGAGAGTGATTCGAACATCGAAAAGCCGAATGTCGATTTGACTGGAAGGAAAATGAATAAACAAACGGAGCGTAGAGAGTTTGAATGCCTCGAGATAAACACACAGATAGAGAGACGGAGAGAACATCGCTTGAGGTAAAAACAGAGACATAAACAGGGCACAAATGATAATGGCATGATTGAAATGCATCATCACAAACCCAAGAAATGTGTGTATCAGTGCGCTTTTATTTAAAGCATCGAGTTAAATGCCAACCAAATAGACACATTGAAGCACACATTGGTCAAACATGACCAAAAAATACACAGACACACACACACACACACACACAAGCCATCCGTCCATATAGCTATAAATATAGATGGTTTATGGTTTACCCGGTTTACGCTAGATAACCGCAATTTTAATCAATTTAATTACTATTCTTGGTCCATCGCTATCTGTTATTCATGTCTATATGTGTGTGCCAAAGTCCCACATACAAAATAGCCAAATACGTGAAATAATGACCACTTTGTGTATTGATGAAATGAGCTTATATATGTAGATATGGTCGGAGGCTATTGGATTGAGTGCTCAATGCGAATGAAATCACAAAGACCGATTTTGTATCGATGAAGAGAGCTCACTCCGACCGGCAATATTCCAATCGACCAAATGAATTTGTACATACAACTGAAGAATTTACGACAGTTTGTTTAAGGTAGTCACAATACATACAACAAATACATTGCAACAACAATGAAGACTATCAATTTTAACACCGATGCAAATGAAGTTGTACGCATCGAAATCGATGAATGCCAAAATCGTAATGCATGAATGCACTGATATACCCAGTTCGTCCATGCTTCGATTGGATCAACCGTAACGGAGTGTATGCTGTCCAGAATCTCCAAAGCCTATATCCGGCAGCACACAAATCGCTCACATTTACCGGCAATTTCATATTTTGTATAGACAACATATAGGGATCGGGTTTGGTTTGGCTTTGCTCGAATACAGCCCCGAAAAATATTACGTCAAATATCCATAAATGTTTCGCTTTTTTCCATTAATTGGATCTAAACCAGCTGCACAAAACCAGACACAAATGTGTTATTGTTGTTGCTATCGTTGCCGCTACATCAGTTTGTGTGTGCGCCGCTTTTTTTTATTCGTTCACTCGCTCATGCTGCTGAATTAATACACCACACATCCGCATTGTATTCATGTAACACGAGTCAATGTTTACACATTTTTGGCGAGATAAAAATTCCACGGCTGTGTATATGTTTAATAATAATAATATGGCTGTGTTTGGCTAACAGGTTTACCATTCGATATTGATGCTTCACTTTGCCGTGAATATTTATCGCTGGACTCGCTGTATTTTAGCCGTTCGCCAACAAATATTGCACACGAAAAATGCATCCAAATATTCCCAATCCAAACAAATGAAATGGAATCAATTTTGGTTTAATGCGAATTAAATGCACATATGCCACACTTGATATTGTCTCACACCACAAGCGAACGACGTACATTCAGCTCGAATCACGCACGTGTGTTTGTATATACATTTTATTGGATGTCGTTGGACTAACTCAACCGATTCGCCTTTTCATGCAAATGATCTCACAGTTGATTAACTTGCAAATCATTTAGCCGGCACTTTTTTTTCAGATGTCTATACCTTTTTGCATCACTATAACTATGACAGGTATAACAATTTTTTTGTTTATTTCCAATTGCGCCGTAGAGAACAACTCGCACGGGTGACTCGTGTGATAGTTTTTATAAGAAGTTTCAAAATGTGGACTTTTTTTTTTGGAGAAGTGAAACATTGCCATTGTTTAAATCGACTTCTATTTATGGTTTGATCAAGAAATCAATGGCTTGTTTCAATTTTTTTTGGTTGAAATTACGTCAGCACACGAGGTTTTCTACTTTTTAACTGTCTCTCGTCAAAAATCTGACTTTTTCGACTTTAACACGTTTTGTGGAGGTTTCTACAGAGGAATCGCGTTAATTTACCAGATGAAAGCAGGTGATGATTGGTTTTAAAAAAGCCATTTCATTGAACCAATCCATACAAAATACCAATTGTGATGCCTTTTATTAATGGGTTTTCGATTAAGAAAACTATTACAGCATATTTCGTAATTTCGTGCCACAGAGAAATCAATCACTTAATTTCATAACCAAAGCTGTCAATAATTGAACCGCTTTGAGATGTGTTTATGCCTAGCAAATGCGTTGCCAATCCAGCAATAACTTGAAGCGATTATCGCATGTGTAATATTTGCAATTATGAATTGCCTTGTCTACCTCACCAATCATTTATGAGTTACTTAAGTCATTCGGCTCATGCTCTTTCTCTTCCCTCGGTGTGTTACATGATTTGTAGAATAGAAAATAATTATCCATATTGTTAAAATGATATATGCAAAAAAAAAATGTTACCTCTCGTTTGAAATTGACGACAACGACGACGACGAAAAAGAATTGCTTTCGAATATCCACTTGTACGCGTAAAAACTGACGTATCAAATGGCTTTTGTGTATATATAGTTATTTGAATATTTGCTACGCCTAAATCACATATACGTATTGTTCGTGTGTGTGTGCGCTTGCCCGCTCTCTGTCTCCCTTCGGTTCTCGGATGTTCGAAAGAGCGAAATCGATGAGATGCTTCAGCTGTTCACAACTTTACTTTAAAATTGTATGTGTTTTACACCCACAAATCTATTTAAAATTAGCACTCTTTTTTTGATATTCTTCACCTTTTTTTTTCTTCGGTTGCTCTATCTCTCACTGAATTTCGTTGGTTGAACCGAACGTTTTTCTATTCATCACTTGCTATGATCAACTTTTTATTGCTGTTGAAATTGAACACTTTATTTTTCGTCGTTTTAAACAATTTATGATTGCTTCGATGATGCTTGAATTCAAACAAATCACTTTTAGGTCAAACAATTAACTAGCAAAAATCAAAATCTTTGAAGTAAACCGCTTTGAGTATATGCTGAGTGTAGTCACACTTTGGCGCGCTCAAATACAAGCCGAACAGTTCGTTTTCAGCTGTGAATCTGTGAATAAGACAGTGAGAACCGGTGAATTAGAATATATAGAGAGGAAAATTTGTTGTTGCGATTTAACGTGAAAAACATTTTCACTTTTCAGGTCCGACAGAGACTCGCCGTCAAAGGCGATTTTCATTGCGGTGTGTGTGTCACTCGTTAAAAATATCCAGACCATACGTAATGCTGTCATCAATTTATTTATTATATAAAAAAGATTGGCCGAACATTCGTTTGAACAAACCAAAAGAAATGAGAAAAAACGCAATTTTTGGCGAGATAGACAAATGCGATTGTATTTCTGTTTGTGTGTCTATGACAGTGAGTTTTATTTTTGGCCGAATCGGAAGAAGAACGGAAACAAACTATCATTGAAAATTAGCTTGCAAATTCGATTAAAAAAAATACAATGAGTATCTTTCATCGTCTTGAGGTTACTTAAGTGTAAAAATAACATTGTTTCGGTAAACAGTCGGATGACAACAAACAGACTGACGCGCAATCGAATGATTAAGCGAATAACAGAAGCGTTTTGTTTAATAATCGAAAAAGTGTGTTCGCAATAGTTTGCGGAAATAAAATCGTTTATCTTTTATATTACGTCACAAAAGATACTAATTGTGCGAACAAAACTGGAATCTGTTCAGTTGTTGGATGTCCGAAAAAAAAATTGAAGAGAACTAAAGAGGAAAAAGATCGGATGAAATCACCAAAATAATTGAATACACCAATGAATATCAATTGCGCGCAATAAATAATACACTTTAAAAAAAAAATCAAATAATAAGATTAAATAAACACAATGAAAAAATAGAAGATATTTGTACACACCGTATGTGTCGGAACGGAAAGCTAAGATCGTCACGATCAGCGCAAAATACGAAACAACAAATGTAAGCAACTTTCAGCGACGAGCGCTCAAATGCGACTAAACCAAATGAACGTTGCCGATTCGCTTTGTATTTTCTTCTCTTTACGTGATCTCCCGTCGCGTTCGCGTCTCACTTCTCATTATACCAGCGATCACGAGTCAAACGAGAGAGCAAACGATATACGTGGTTTTTTTTTTCATCGCTCGATTCTCGTTTGTGTGCTACGCAGTGAGCATGTATGACTGAGATACTGCGACCTACCATGTATATATACATTCTATAGTTGATGCGATCGTTTTAATATCGATGGATTTATGGTTGGCTTTTTGTGTAAGGAAACAATTGTATGATGTACTGTACTGTACTGTTCCATTCACTGATGATACGCTTCTCTTGTTTATCGCGACGTCTCATTTCAAATAATGCGATGATTATTGTGGCTGTGACACGGCGACATCAAAACAAAACAATCAACACAAAAGGCCATAGTCATCAAGAGTCCAAAAGACAGAGATACGGGTATTTTAGTTTCTTTCCCACAGTTATGAATAACATCAATGAGTCACGGGTGTAAATTTACTGTAAAGGATTTTTGTTTTGTTTCGGTTCATCTCAATGGATGTGTCTCACACTCATCGCCGGAATATTCCATTTGGAAGAGGTGTTGAAAGCAAACCAAACGATTTTTTTTTCCATTTCCGCTCTCTTTCTCAAGACAAATCGGTGTAGATCGATATAAAAATAGAAATTATTCCACTCCAAAATCAATCTAATGGTTTCACAATTTACACATCTCTCGCGTGCAATAATTAATTTTCGTTTGTGCTCTGTTGTTTGCATTATTACCGTTCAAAATATACAGTGCTCGCCGAAAAATTAAATCACGTAGGAGGCGATTCTTCGGGTCGAGTGCATGATGAAATTCCGTAACACTCAATCAAAAAAAAAGAAACATACAAAAAGTTCGCGTCCCGTTAGGTTTTCTGAACTTCGCACACACACCATTCGATGACTAATCAAATGTGAATGCTGAACGTTGAGTGTGAGAGACCGATTTAAATCGGATTTATTGACAATGAATTCTGGCAGGAGCGGCGGTGGTGATGGCGAAAGCGGCTGTCGGAAAACCACAGCGAGAGTGTAGCCATGAAATTTCGTTTAACCGCACAAAACATGTCACTTGAAAACGAAGTCATTTTCCTTCTCGAGTGGAAAAGAAAAAGAGAGTCGGTGACTGAGACTGTGAACTCTTGAAAGAAAGAAAAAAACGTGAATTTTAAAGAGAAAATACATTTTACACATGAATTTATTTGAAATGTGATTAAATTTCGACGCTTGTCGTTACATAAGTTATTCATTTCATTTTGTCGCGAAATTCAATCGCAAAATTATCCGTACATCAATCTTAAATTACACTTCAAAGCAAAACCATGATTTATTTTCTGCCACCCATGGGTTAAGCCGTAATTTTTCTACCATATGTCATAAGTAACCGACAAATACAATTTCAAATAACAAACATTTCGAAAATAACAAGTAATCGATTGGCCTAAATACGTTGCGGCTAGTTTCACATTTTGGACACTTTTCTATAAATAAAGTGACTGTGCCTAATAGTAAAAAAATGAACCGTTCACAAGTGAACGAAAATAAAACGCAGACACTTTCAAACCTATCACGCTGTTAACCGACTATAAATATCCACAAGACCACTTAATTCAGTGGCCGATTTGAATTATCTCTGTTTTAACGACTTATTAATTTGCTACGATTCCGAGAGATGTACGCTTTTTTCCTGTTTCCACCATAGACTAGCTGCAACCAATAAAAATGTTCTCCGACCCGAAAATAGTCACGCGATTTATCACTCGACAAGTTGCGTAGATAATTCACAGGGGACAGTTCCCAAGCTAGCGACTCGGCCATGCATCACGAGCCTTTTTTCTGAATGTCGTAACGAATTTTTGAATTTTAGTTTTATTTTCATTTTCTTTTATTGCTCGGTTTTAACGTTCTAATCGTAGGAAAAATGCATGGCGACTTTGTGTCGAATCGTACGGTAAATATTTGTCGTAAAAATCTAAAATTAATTCTTGGATTTTGAATCCAAACTTTTGATATAGCAAAATGGCTGGATTATTTGCTGAAACATGTAAGGTGAAATCTTTTCCCATGCACGTTTGCGTGAGATGGTAGAGCATGAATGAGGCTATACCAGCTCGTTGCCAACCGGGTCGAACAGCCATGAAGGAAACATAAGCTTCGTTGTGACCGACATCAGGAACAAGAAATGCACAACCAACGACGAGTTTCTTGTACAAAGCCACAACACTGAAGTCGGGATAGCTCAGGCACTCGGACACTGTGGGTGGAAAAAAAAGAAAAATTGAAAAAATCATTTGGGAATTGATGAAATCTTGAATTTGACTTCAAAAGATGTTCTATTACTATCGATTCCAGGCCAAAACATTCTCTGAAGCAGCCCATTCACAGCGGCAATATGTTGAGGTCGAACGTAGCAATAATCGATTGAAGCACGACTAGGCATCGTTCCATTAACTTCATACTGCAATTCACACATCAATTTAACCCACGGCGGAACACAATTGTCATTTCTGTATATGAATGGATGTAGAATACGTTCGGTGTGTGGACTAATGAAGAGATCGTATGTGCATGAACCGGCTAAACGTGCCATAAATGTGTTGTCTGTTCGTTTTCCCGATGAAAAGTCACCACTTCCGGAGATCAAATGATGGAATCGATCTAAAACAGCCGGTTGTGAATCTTGACTGCTCACTTGAATGCCTCGTTTATTCAATTTATCGACATTAAACACGGGCAATCCTAAGCTTCGTTGCATCCTACGAACGCATAACTTTCGATAGTGTCGGCGAACCCATGGCGGAATATCAATTGATTGATTTTTCTCCGCTTCGAAAATCAACTTGAGTCGTTTGTAGGTCTCACTCTCTTCATATTCACTGATCAATTCGATGCATTTATCTCCCACAAAATCATCATCGTTTTCTTGACCGACCATAAAGTCAGCCTCCCATGGATATTTTTCAGATGGTGGCTTCGATTTGAACAGACTTTTTTCACAAATGTACTTCTCTTCGAAAGGCAACTCTTCTTCCTCTTCATCGTCTTGCATTTCGACATCTTTCGGAATCTCTTGCTTGATACTTGCATCCAGCAATTCATTTTCACCCGGCTCCTGATAGTTCTTTACTTGCAGGATTGTCGGCTCCGAAAATTCATCTTCTTCGATCGGTAGCTCAATTTTTGGCTTACAATCAAATAAATTGTCAAGGAAATCATGATCGTTGATTGTTGTGAATGATGGAATCACACTGTTTATTTCCTCTGAAGTAAGGGTGGGCAGTATGGGCATCTCATCCAACAAGTTCGAATTTTCACTCGAATCAATGAAATCGAGAATGTCAATCATTGGCTCCTCTTTTGGCTTCGTATCCCATTTGTATTTGCCCGTGAATGGCCTACATAGTGTGAAAATATAAAAAAAAGTTAATCAAATAAGTTGAATTAAGACAAATAAAATTTTTGTTAACAATATCGAATCATAAACGAAACAGCCTTTTATAATTGAATGTTAATTTTTTTCAATTTCAAAAAGTTCAATTTTTTTTGTGGCTAAAAATAACTCACAATGTTCGGCTACAATGATCTATTTCAACTGCTGGTTCATTTTCACTTTCATCTTCACTCGTTTCATGTGCTCTCTTTCCCAATAAACTTGGTCCAGGTGTGTCGTTTAGCACATTTACCTCTTCTGAAGTGCCTTTTTCTCTTCTAAGCCTCTTTACTGGAATTTATAAGAGACAAAACATGGGCAAGTTTAAAAAAAAACGTGAAAAATGTAAAAAATGGACAAAAGTAGAAAAAAATATGTGAAAAAAAACTGAGCAAATGTAATTTTTCGAAATCAAACTGAAACCATTTAAATTGGGTGTGACATAAGCGGATATAGATTGTGTTAGATAAACTGTGTCTAACCATATTCATAATACTGTTTGGGTGTTTTGTTGTGGGTCAATTTCCACCAGCCGGCTTCGCTGAATACTGCAAAACCAGATGTAAACAAAACAGTCGAATGATGTGAAAGTGTTCCCGAAATGGTGCCAATCCAATTTTTCCTTCGCTTGCTACAAAAGCACACATATTAAAATACAATTAAAAAATAATAATAAATGAATACAAAATACGCATTGAAAATATAATAACAGTTTACGCATTGAGTAATTGCCTTGAAATTGTTGAATAACATTCAATTCAATGAGTTGTTTGTTCATACGTACAAATTTGGTTCCATCAAATACGCCCAATTCTTGTCAATGAAGTGGGCGATGTGCGATCTCCAATGGAAATAACCATTTCTACTCAGACCTTGTGATTTTTTCGTCAAATTATAAATAGTCAACACGATTATCATGGTCCTAGAATTAAAATGGCAATCAATAAATGAGTACCTTGTGAATTTATGCTCGACATTGTTTCTTACCATGGTAGTTTCTCTCTTTCAAACGTTTCTTTTCCATTGTTGGTACAACTAACGCAGGTAAATTTGAAGAATATGTCGCTAGTTTGGAAAAGAAAAAAACAAACGGAATCAATATAATCTATCAAAGTGAGGAGAATGACTTTAACCGTTTAAATTGTATCCAAAGTAGATTTTTTGTTATTCAACTTTCACAAATACACCGATTTTATTTACCCAACAAAGTCGCCCGGTGTTCCTGGTCGACGCAAGCAACGCACGTGAACGTATTGCTCACATTCTTCACATTCCAAAAAGTCATCGGCTGCAATTCTATCGTAACAATAACCACAATCTACATCCATTTTAACGCTTATCCAAATCTTAATCTTTTAAAATAGCGAGTTTAAATCAACGAAGCCTTTAATTTTTTAAAAATTGTCGGCATTATTTTAGCTTCAAAACACAAACTTAACTCATTCCATGTGCGCACGACAGTCGTAACGAATGACAGCTGACGTTTCGAATGTCAAACTCGGTTGTTTACACATTTTCGACTGTCAGACACAACAAGCCAGTCAAATAAAACGTATTTGTTCTAATAAACAAGCATTTGTTTTTGTTTTTAATATTAAGTTTGGATTTTCATTGAAAAATGGGAAAAAATTATTACTGCGAATATTGCGATAAACGACTGAAAGACGATCCAAGTATTAAACGAAAGCACAACGAAGGATTACCACATCAAAAGGCTCGCAATGAACACTACGCACATTTTAAGAGTAAGAACTTTTTGCATTGACTGAATTGATTTTAATTGTTGATTCAAATTTTAATTTTAAATTTTTTGACAAAAATTAGACGCACAAGATATCTTGAAAGAGGAACAAAAGAAAAAACCATGCGCCAAATTTCCAAATGGATTATGTCAATTCGGTGCTATGTGTCGATTCAGCCACTACACACCCGATGAATTGGCGAAAATCAAGGCAAAAGGTGAGAATTTTGCAATATTTGTTTGAAGAACATTAAATTTTAAGAGGAAGTTAATTTTTCTGTGCATTTGTTTTTAATTTTTTTAATTTTTTTCCAAATATTTTTTCAAAATATCCTCTTTGTTTGACTTTTTTTTACAAATTCACTATCTCATTTTTCGTCATTTTTTTTTCTTCAATTTTGTCTATATCTGTCTTAAAAATGATCTCTTTGTCATAATAAACATTATTTTTCCATGAACTTTCCAGCCGAACTCGAAAAGCAGCAGCAAACGGCCAGTCAAGAGGAAAAAGTCTATTCAAAAAGTATGATTGACACCTTCATGAAGAAGCGAAAAATGACAAAAGAGCATTGTGATCAACGATTTCTGCGTGAATTTTTCAATTATCCCGAAGAATTGCTAAAGCACGATGATGAATTGCCGCCATCATTAAGACCTATCGACGCTGAAACGCTGCGAAAAGAATTCAAACCTACTTTCTTCGGATAAAATAAATAAAAATTATGATTTTATTTGTTAATGTATTTGAAACGGATTCCAAACAAAGGAAAAAAAATACACACTTAAAAGTTAGTGTCATGATCCATATGTAAATAAATCCTACATGGCATATATATATCAATTACATATATTTTTTTTCATCTTTAACAATTTTCTAACGTCAATTTTGTCTAAATTCTAAATGATCTCATTTGAATGAGTGAAAGCAAAAAACAAATAATTCATAACAATAAAAAGGACTAAATATTGATTTTGATAATATAAAGTGATTCATGAAACTCGGCAAGTTTCCTCTTCGAAATCTTGAGCGTCGTCTTCTGGTTGTGCTGCCAGCACACCACCCTGCAGAATGGTATTGACTGTGGCACGTGCTAGATATCCAGTTGTTTCACTGTAGCTCAACGAATACAATGGCGAAATGTCTTTGGTAAACGGAATTCGTTTCTCTTTGCAATACATGCTGTAGGCTTCTTCGAGCAAATCATCCAAATCGAGTATATCTTTGAAGCGTAGCTCCGGATTACGCGATAAAATGGTTGCTACGATGCACAAAAGCTCAACAGATAATTGTCGTCGTTCGGGCTGAATGATATGATTGAATGTCTCTTCGACGAGTAACGAAAATGCCAATTCACTTCGACTCATGCTGGTCAGTGTTGGTTCAGTGGGAATTAAATGGCCTTCTAATGATATTCCTTTTGGTGTTCGTGCTAGCACATCCCACACCAAACTATAGAATTGCTTTGGCACACGGCACAAACAACCTTCCAATTGACGCCGTTGTAGAACAGTTAACTTTTCATCGTTCGCCCAATCGCTCACGGTGAGAATTCGTTGCAGCAATATTCGAATCGAAAATGGCGACAAATTATCCAAATCGGCCGTTTGGCCGGACATACTCAAATACAGTCGCATTGCTTCTAAAACCCAACCAATGCGAATTTTCAACACTCCCTTGAACATATCCGGGTTGGTGGCAATTAAGCGACCACAATAAAGAACAACTTCTTGTTGCAATACTGCCTGAATCACATCGAATGGCTGCACCGAAGTGTACATTACATTTAGAATTTCAGCTGGAGTCATTGGCTTATCGAATACCGTCTCTTTCTGACCTATTACACCCACGGTCAACTGTGAAAATATTTAATTTTTTTATTAGTAAAATTTTCAAGAGTGAAAAATATCTTTTCATAGAAATTGAAGCAGAAAGTGAAATGCCGACTTGCCTGTTTGCCATTGACCAACACCGTAGTGATGAAAGGACTGATCGAATCGACAGTGTGATGAAGCAATGAGCTACAGTAACGCACAGCACGCCAGTATCTCAATGTACCGGCTCGGTAATAGAGCGCTTTCAATGAATTGATTACACTTTCACCGTTCACTTCGTAATTCGGGCCTTCGCGATTGAAAATTATTCCCCACAATTGACATTGGACATAGATCGATGATGTTTGTCGCAATGCGTCGATGATATCGGGTAACGAGCGATTATTGTACTCCTGCAGATATTTAAATAAAATTGAAGACAATTTTCGAATAATTTTTAATTTTAGTTTTTTGTTCAAATTTTCTTCTTTTTTCATGTTGTTCAATATTCAATATTCAATAATTGAACTTAAAATTTTATAATAACCAAAATTGAGCATTTTTTTCCCGAAGAGTGATATCCCATTGAAAACTTACCGTACACATAACCTTCTCTTCGCTATACGATTGTGCTTTGGGCACATCAGTCAAACTCTGATATCCAATGTATTCGTGATTTATCTGACTAAAGCTACTCTCGTCAGTGTCAGGCAAATCACTGGTGGACATGAAATCCAAGTGTTCCATACATGAACTGGAAATCAAATTTTGCAAGCGGCCAATGCGTACTTTCATCCCATCACAATAGCCTTTCTTGAGCATTGCAAATAAATCGAGCATCTCTTTGAATTGTGGGTCACGCATGTGTTCCTCACGAATGAGTAGGCAAACAGTTGGTCTGCCCGATAAACGCCAGTATTTTCCGACAAACTGTAATTCGGTCTTTATGTCATCAATGAGCAAGGCCATGTCACGGTATAGATAGAAGTCGGAAAACTCAAAAATCAACGGATAGCATAGAACAGTCATACCACAAACACGGTATACCTGGAAATTCGGAATTGAATTGGTTTTTTTTTCAAAATTTCCGCCTTAGGTTTATTGAAAAAAAAAATTCAAAAAACAAATATCATGATTTGATATCCTTACTTTGCTAGTACCCAATGAACCGACAGGACGATTTGGCCGACCGGTCAATCCGATTTTCTCATTCACTCCAAGCTGCTGGAAGAATTTGATGAGCTGCGTTGAAGACCAAATTTGAACTGGTTCAACCTAAGTTTGAAAGAAAATCAAAGTCAATAATTGCAATCGAATTGCCTGAAGCCATTGAAATCATTCAAAATAATCAGAATCACTACTTCTTTCAAAAAACAATAATTTTTTTACTTACCTCATGCGGTGTCTGAGTTTGAATACCATATGTGGCCATCATGGCTTGTAATCTGTTCAGAAAAGAGTGATTTTTGTTAGTAATTCATTGAAAAAATATTAATTTCATAAGCAGAATAACCTCTGAGATTCAGCGATAAGCACAATTTGTACGACAAGATCGGTGGCTGTACCCTGAGAGAAAAATTCCCGAATTAAATTGCGGATGATAAAAATGTTTGAATGTATCACAAAACACTATGAACATGCAAGAATCTACGAGAAGACAACTCTACTGCGTGCCAGAAAAAAGGAACAAAACAGAACAAACTGAAAAAAAATAAACTAAAGAAAGAACTAAAAAGAATTGCACGAAATATTGAGTAATCCCAATGGTCAGAGAGAAAATGCTCAAAATTCGATGGTGTTTGGATTTGTGAGGGGAAGATTGTGAAAGGGAGAGGAGGAAAAGATTTCAATGTCAATATTTCACACACGGCTGAAAATGGTCCAAGTTCAATGAACTCGCAAACACATACACCGGATCATTTTCAGCATTCGACATATACTTACAATTCCTGGCTTCGCCTGCACTCAGATTGGATCAAATCAGGGGACAAGGGTGAAAAGAGAGAAAATTCATTTAATCGATATTTACAAAAGAATCAAGAATCAATAAAATCAAATCGGAAATCATGAGAGAGAAAAAAAAAAACAAAACAAAATATGTCGAACAAAATGCGAATTCAAAAATCATTGAACAAAAAGAGAAAACAGATTTGAACGAAGCCATTCAAGAGAAAAATGATCGCGATGATAGATATTTGGATGGGCATTTCGTGCACTTGTCGTGCGTCATCGAAGGGGACTTACTGATACAGCTCCTGGCTTTCCCTGCAGCATGAGTAATTTGGAATACCAATTATTTGGTTAGCGATTGATTTTTGGTTTTGGTTTTTTTGATTTTGGTGATGAAACGATTAAAATTTCTTAATGAGATTAGAGCAACCAATTTGTCCGTTCCGAACATTTTTTTCGTTGAAAAGCCGGACTGTTCTTAGAGTAATAATAATGGCCAATCGAATGATTTACAATGAATATATTACCTGGAACGCTGAGTAACGACCACCTTTTCTTGGGCGGTTATAGCTTGGCAAGTAGCGACGAATTGTGTCCAATTCATTGATGTGCAGTAGTCCTGAGGTTAGCAATTGTGCGATTATGAAAACTGCCTGACCCCATAAAAAAAGTGGGCCAACTGGAGCCTTTGTATAACCACCTTCGCCGTCAGGTGCATAAAACATTGTTATCGCGGGATCTAATCGTATTTTGAAAAATATGAACAGAAAACATGATTGAACAAAATATGTTTGATTTCAGATGAATTTTCAAAATTTACGCACCTCCATTACTGTCGGCGTACATGGACTTCCTCAGTTCGTCTTGATATTCTTCAATTTGTTCCGTGTTGCTTCTAAAGACGCCATCAATTATCATGAATGTGTAGAATATCGGCCATTCACATTCATTTCCCTCGAATTCTTTCACTTCACCCTCATTATAGTAGCTAAATTGAGTGCAAATTGATGTCAATTAGTTAATCACTACTTTACAACACCAATCAATGCATTGCACAATGGTGACAATTGAACATAGAGCAAACTAAACAGCAACAACTAGGAGAAATAAACACAGTATTGACAAGTAATTTACCGTCTGGTTTTATCTTCCAACTGGCTCAAGTAACCATCACGGCTGAATCGTTTGAAACCGTTTTTTCCTTTGAGACGACTAACCACATTGGCTTTGGTCTGCTCAACTAGCCGTTCTTCGTGTGATGCAAAAGCGGGAAATGTTAATGTTGGCAATAAAGAGGCATCAACGCCTTTTGAGCTCGATTCACGTGGTAGCATTGTCTCGAAAATGCTACGGTTTCGATTGTGTGCGTCAATGTCTACATAAACAACACTCCATGAAGCACCTTTCTCGCCAAACAAGTTGCAGCCGTTTATAGCTTCTAGAGCGGATTTCGCCATTCCTATGGAAATTGCATCACATTAGAAACGGTTCTTGACAAGAATAGCTCGTTTGGATGAATGGTGAATGTTAAAAATGGAATATTTACCAATTGAAGATGCATGGATTTCTGGTGTTCCATCATTGTATTTTGAACCGCGTTCCCACATACCAAAATCCGGCGTTCGATAAGACCGTTCGACGTAATACACCAAATTTTGGACGAAAGCTACTTCATCCTGCGAAAAAAGAACAAAAGAAACGTGACAAAAATATTCTTTGCTAATCTTCTTCAAATATTGACTTTGTACTCAACCAGCAAACAAGTTGATTGCCAACAAATAAGCAAACAAAATGTTCCAAATTGACTTACTTGAGTGTAAATAATTTGCAAACCCGACGTAATCATCTGCACCAAGAAAATGAGATAAATTGACACCACATCGATTTGAAGATGATTGTATAGGTCATCGGAGAAGATTTCTTCGCCGGTGTGCAAATGAAATTTCGAATGTAATGCATGTTGATTGGATTGACGTTGTTTGAATAGTTCTACACGATATGCTTGTTTTATCCAGCATTCCAAAATGCCACGCATACATTTCACGGCCGATTGACCGAGTTCATGTGATTTACCTCGATCGTCATCGATTCTTCGATACGCTTGATAAAGACTCCAAACGGCCGCAGCGCAATAAACACTATCACGTACGCTGCCCACCTCCGTATCAGTTGATAAAACGGGAAACAGACCAGAGATCGGACTTTGAAACTGAAGCAATTGACGTTTCACTGTAATGAAAATTTATTGAATTCATTAGACGTGCAAATCGTTAATAAATTCATAAAACGAAAATATTGACACAGAAATTTTTTCACAGAAGAACCCACCAATTCCGTAATACACGTCAAGCTCTTTAACTGTATCTTCATAATTGGCAATTTTGAGGAATTGATCCAAATTGATGTCGTCCAAACTCTGTTTACGGCCCTGTTGCTCGAAATTTCTGCAACAAATTTATCAAATCATATAATAACCAATCAATTGCGTTTTAGATAAATTCACACTCTACACAAGTTAGATAACGTTTTTTTTTATTCACTCACGACGACAATGGTTCCTGTGCTAGCTGAACTGGGGCTTGCATTTTTCTCTCTCTCTCTTTATTTCGTTCACTTATCGTCAAGAATTCATTTGTTTGTGCACATTTGAATGAAAGAATTTCAAAACTGCGTTGGCTATTGAACGCAAAAAGTCGAGCAAAAGAAGAGAAAAAAAGAGTTTTTCTTTACAATCTTTTGACTCGATTTTTCACACACAGTTTTGCGATGTGTGAATGTCAAATTTGGCAGCTCAATGATAAAGATATTGAAAGTGAAAGTGTGCAAATGACATTTGTTTAGAGCAGCGCTGGCGACACTTGAGCACGCGGTGGTGAGAATTGAAACTACTCGGCAGCATTTGAATGTTATATTTGCTGTAATTTGAATGGTTCAATTGACCGGATAAGCGCCTTGACCGGAATGCACAGAACACTCAACGTATTTCTTTGCACTGTACTTTTTTAGCACGTGCTTTGAACAAGTAAATTCCTATTAGTTTTTTTTCGGAAGTTGGACGTATAGCTTACAAAATGGAACCAAATCCACCGCAATTAATGGACTTCAAGAGTGTTCAAGAGATTGACGAGAAAGTGTTAACGCGTCATATTTTAATGAATATTGGCAATAATATCAGCACATTGCGAAGTGCACTTCAAGTTTCGGTGCCAGACCATGATTTGTCGGACTATGAAATTTGGTTGCAAGATTACAAGATGCTTGATCAATCGCATACGCTGGCCGATGATTGTTTTACCGATGACGGTTCGGTACAAGTAAATGTGGAAATTTTGATTGTTAAAAAACGGATTACCATCGTCGATGTCATTCAACCATTGGAAGAAATGACTCGACTAACTGAACAGCAGCCCGTTCCAAGCATCGATACGAATGATGCAGCACAAGTTACACATGATATTGACAATTTGGACGGTTCTGATGGTATTTAGCGATTTTTTGTCATTTTTTTTCTCAACTCTTTTCGTTTTTCATTGAAGAAAAAACTAAATTGAATCGGAATCGCACGAACCTAGGGGGTAAGAACACAAGCGCTTGGGACGAATCCGTACGAATATTTGTGAATTCGTGTGATTGTGTATACGAGACATTCGCAGCGCAGTGAGTGTACAACAACAATAACAAAGCCACGAACGCATGAATATATGCGAATCTATGTGAATCTCACAAAATGTTCCTAGCCCCTAGGCACGACCCATGTGAACCATTTGCGGAGAAATTCCGTGCACAGCGGAGCTGTGCGGAGTTCGGCGGAGATGCCATACATACACTATATCTAAAGCAGTGCGCTCATGGCTACTAAGATGTGTATTGAACAATAGATATGTAAACACAGCAAAGAGTGCTGTTTCGCTCACACGTATAGCGTATGTACGGTATCTCCTCCGAACTCCGCACAGCTCCGCTGTACACTGGATATCTCCGCAAATGGTTCATTTGGGGAACAATATGAATTTTGGTATCGAAGAAGTTTTTTGACAGATTCGCCGACTTTGTATGTTGTTGTTGTCTTTGCACAACGAGCAAGTAGAAATTGTCGAGTACAAACCAAATTGAAGCCAATTTTTCTCAATGAAGAATATTTTTACGACCTTTTGCATACACACTGGCGAAAAACGGCATTGTATCTCTTACATTTTTTTGATGTTTTTTCACAGACAAAAAGCTGAATCATTTTCCAGCCAATAAGGTGGTTCATTTTGTCGACAACACGGTGACTTCATCGGCTAAGGCTACAAATCGAATTCCGAAGAAGCCAGTCAAATACATGCGAATCGATCAAATTGGTTCTCCCAAACCAGTGGAGAAATGTGGATCAAACAATGGAAGCATTCAACTCTGGTGAGATTATTTTGAATATATGCAAGCTATTGAAAGAATAAAAGGCATTTATTTCAAATTGAACATTTCGTTTTGTTTCGTTTTGGCAGGCAATTTTTGTTGGAGTTGCTCACGGACAAACAATACGCCAGCATCATCCAATGGATTGGAAATGACGGCAAATTTATAATGACTAACACAAAAGAAATCGCCAGACTGTGGAGTGAACGGAAGGAAAAAAAGTGCCCGAAGATGTGCTATGAGAATCTTTCGCGCAGTCTGCGCTACTATTACGAAAAGGAGGAAAATGCGATCATAACCAAAGTTGGATGCGAGAAATTCGTGTACAAATTTACAATAGCCATCAAAGATATGTTGGGCTATGACCCGCAGCAGCTCAGTGACATGGTAAATGGACGAGAAAGGGCGCCACGCCAACGACGTCATCCAAACTATGACATTAACGATGAACAATAACCATTTTCTATATTTATGACCAATGAATCATATCGATTGATAGACAGTTTACTGAATGGATCAGTAGAACTGAAGAATCACATTATTTTTTAATGATATTTATTTAATTCTATTTATTTACACCGATTGCCTATGAGCAATTTGATATTTATTGAAATATGGAAAGAAAATATTCCCAAATACTTTATACAATTTGGATAGTATAAATAAAATTGAAATCTTCTGAAAATTTCATTTTGTTAATGATTATGTCGATTTGTTCTTTCTCTATCTGTCTTATCAGTCGTAGTGACCTTTAACAGCATAAAAACAGCAAAAAAAACTGATTGCAACGTAAAATCTAATTTGTTAAATCGAATCGTTTTGCAAGCTATCAACGTAGAAATTAATTACGCTAATTGATAGTCGACTAAAATTAGATTGGCTCTCGAGATTTTTCTTTTGCTTTTTTTCTGCTATTAATCCATGGGAAATGCTTTACAGGAAAAATTATTCACAACGTGCTGAAGTGGTTCCGTCTTACAGAGCAAATTAACTTGAGGCAAGAATTTTCATTGGATTTTCATTTAATTGAAGAAACATTTTCAAAGAATGTGATGCCAATTAACGAATTTTTGACGGAATACTGATAAAAGCAGCATCAGTTTAGGTCGAGAGCTCCAGTCATCGTTCAACTTCTGAATCAAATCATCCAGAAAAATGAAGTTTTTGGTGTATACATTTTTGATCATTTGCATTTGCTCCATCATCCATCAAGCAAATGCTGCTCCAGGATTATTCGACGATGTGGCTAGTACTCTGCAGCATCCAAATCAAGGATCTTTCGGTGATCTGATTAAAAAATCAACGGGTATGTAAGATAAACAGTATATTTATTTCAGTTTAATCACATAAATTTTGTGTCTTAACTTAAATTTTTTTGCTTTTATCTAGATCTTGGTCGATCGATTCAAGCGAGTTTTACAAGTGCCTATCAACAATTGCAGAATCAAGCTTTACCTTATCGCAATCCGTAAATACCAGTATTGATCAATTGAACATTTATCAAAATTGGCACTAAATTCACTATTTCTATGAGTAAAATGGTCTTTGAACTAAAATAAAAAAAAGTTACGAAATTTGAAAGAAAAATTGTGTTTGTCTTGAATACGGTTGCGTCAAGTTGGATGCACAAGATTTGAACAGACTTTTTCAGTTTTACAGAGTATTCACGCAACGTTTTAGGTACAAATAAATCCATTGCTGTATGATACAATCTCAAATGCAAACAAAAACTACCCTAAAAGATTCAATTCAATTTAAATTGATGGTAAACCACGTAATATTATTGTCTAAAAATAAATAAACTTAACAAGTGTATCATAAATTGTTTGCCTCTAATGCGAAATAATATGTGCTAGTCAACTAGTGTTTATTTTATGTTGCTGGGTCGTTTGTCAGGTGTTGGATGAGGATATGGAGAGTAATCAAATGATGATTCTATGTTTTCTTTTGGAGCAGCAGCAACACTTTCCGGTTGATATTGGCTTATATCGAAGACTTCGGCATCGGGATTGTATGATGCACCTTGATCGGCCAACATTTGATTGATTGCTATGTCATCGGTCAGATCGTACGTTATATGTTCTACCTCCTCATCACTGCTGTTTTCATTGTTATTCACCTCGTAATAAGTCTTCTTCTGTTCATCAGAATCTTCAAGCTCAATTTCTGCCCATTCGACATCTACTCCTTTCTTATCTGCGATGTAGGGTGACATGGTTTCGCCTTCGATTTCCTCGGAACTGATCATTTCAGATGGCAATTCGAATTCAATCTTCTCAGACTTTTCTATGACCAGCGACTGTTTCTTCATGTCTTTCTCCACTGCCTTTTCGCGCTGGAAATTGGTTTCATAATTGAAATTATTCTAAAGATTCTTTTGGGAGTGAACATTTTTGAGGAAGAAATTTTAATCTTCGGACGAAGAACAATTCTGAAGAGAATTTATTTTGAGCGTTTTTTGAAAGAAAAATTTCTTCGAGAAAACAAAAAACACTTTTTCATGATTTAAAGTGTTTTTATGCAATTCTGGGAGCAAAGAAGTGAGTTAAGCCAGTATAGTGTTAGAAGCTTATTAAATTAAATGTTCTGAGTTTTAATTGATTTTCAAACGTTAATTAGCCAAAGCTTTGGCAAAGCACATGAAAGCATTTTATCTTACCTTAAAGCAATTAAGAGTAAAAAAGTAAAAAGCATGATTAAAGAAAAAATGAAAATAACTTACAGGCAGAAATTATCGTTGGTAACTATGAATATAAGTAATCCTCTTAAAAGATAAATAGAGATAGAGACATTTGCAAAATGGCATTTTAAATTTAATAAACCAATTCAATTAAAGAAAAAGCATAAATTTGAAGCAAAAGTTCCATAAAAGTTGCAAGCAATGGCTTAGAGCAGTATAAAAACTTATCACAGAGTAAAAAGCAAGCAATTAAACACCAACCAATAGACAAAAGACAGAAAGAAAGCGTAATAAAACCAAGAAAATTAGAAAGGGCTATAGTTTTACCTTTATTCAAGATCAAAGCAATATAATTAAAAGCATGCAATTATCGTATTAAGATCATTCGTAGTTGAGAAAGCAAACCTCTTGTCAAAGCTTGTATCAGCATTTGCTCAGGCTATTAGCGATTTATGTAAATCATTCGTATATACAACATGTTTTATTGTTTATTTACAAAAAATTTAAAGAGTTTCAAGCATAGTTTTAGTTGCAAGCACTGGTGGATTTTATTTTTTTACCTCAAAATTTTCGAGCGAGTCTCTTGAGATTTCGTTGGCATCGTCAAGAATGTCCGCTTCACCCACTCGATTGCCATCGATATCGCCAAAGTCTTCAATGGTCGACCGTTCGTCATCGTCTTCGTTTTCAGTCGGTCTTTGAGTGGTGTTTGGCTCATCGATATCAACGTCTGGAGAGATTGTTGTGTCATTGTCTTCAACACCTTCGGTCGTTTCGTCATTTGGTTCGACCGGTTTTACGTCGACAGTTCTTACTTTGAACACAACATGACCGAAATCACTCTGTTGAACGTGAACTGTTTCATTGATGATGAATTTATGGTCGCCAACAACCTGTGCAAAAGTAAAATTACGCATTTTAATCACGATCCAAGTTGAATAATCCCAAAAACATTTTTATTGCAAAATTATACCTTGACAGTTGATGTTGTGGTACCGTTGGATTTTACATCTGGCCAGTAGTTGTTAATCATTGGTTTGACTGATGGAACTCTCGACCATGCATTTGACGCTGTGCTCCGGATTTGATTGAAGAAATCTTTAAATTAGTTTGAAAAAAAATACATGATTTTCTGATAAAAAAAAGTTTGATCATATACAGAATGATTGATTCAGTTATATTTTGAACTTATAAGGAAAGGTAACTTCGGTTTGAGCTCAAGAAAATTTGGTTGTTATTCGAACTTACTGGAAAAACCATCAAAAACATTGTACGTCCAACCGAATGGGAAATAATTGGGAGTATAGGTGGGATAGGCAGGGATATGATATGATGGATAGACAGGAACCGTTGGATATGATGGAATGGAGGGAACATAAGGATATTGTGGAAAGGATGGTACTGATGGTGGTTGGTATCCGGGTTGGAGACCTGGTTGATATCCCGGTGATGAACCGTCACTAATCACTTCAGCATCGTCGTCTGGATTTGCGCTGGCTGGAAAAATAGAAAATCACAATTTCATTATTTCAATTGACCAAAAAGTCGACCTTAGTTGTTCATGTCTATTCGGCGTGTATCATACGCAATTCAGTTGATTGCAAAATCACGCGTGTCTTTGGCGAGTCGATCGTCACGCAATATATCTACTGAATGTCTTTATTCTGACCGCAATTATTTGTAGACATGCACATTTATGGTGATTACCAGTTGATTCATTGCAAATTTGGAATGACGATTGACATGCGCATCTTTTGCATCAGTTTTTGATACATATCGACGTAAATTAAAGGGAAAAAAATTGTGAGAGAGGCCCAAAGAAGCAAAAAAAAAGCGATGCATTATTTAAATGAATTGGCAGCAATGAAATTTTGATCATTTTGAAATTCTCTGCTGAATGCACATTCCTGATGCTGCAGAGCAATTTCAGAAAATTGCAAAGATTCCATGAAATGTTAATAAGCTTACGGTTTTCAAGCTTTGAATCGGAAAAAGCGTCTCCCCAGCCGATAGATCTGAGTTTGCGGCGAGAAGAGTACAAACGGTCAATTGGTCAAGGAAATGACGGCGAAATTGCCAGCTACTGACACTTTTTCATACGTGACTTAGTCGCTCACATCGATTCTAGTGCAAATTCTATGCCTTACTTGCCACACATGATTGACGCATCAATTCGAACCAAATATTCCATATTAACAAATGAATTCAACTTAATCCCCACGACTACTGAAGTGGCTGCGGCTGCTGCTTTATTGAATTCCTTCGTACAATCTGATTGTCACTTCAATTGACTGTGTAATTGATATTCCTTTTTGGATTCGATCACGTTTTTGCCTCCTTTAATTAGCACAAAAATGCACATTTCATGCGCACTGTCAATATAATAAAGTCGCCGCCGCCATCACCACCGACGACAGCTCTCGCGCAGTTCGGTTTGATGCAAAACTTATATTTAGTCACTATTATGAAAACTGGCCGCACAGTTCATTGCATCATAAATCGTGTGAAACAGAAAAAGAAGCGGCAACACAATGAAAAGTGTTTATTGTTTTTTGGAAACGCTATTTTCAGCGGAAAACCCAGCAGCAGCAGCACGAACAACAGACAAGATGCACTTACAGAACTGCCGCATATCGTCGTGCACGCGAATGAAAAAGTTGATACAGTGCCAACGACAGTGATCTCATGTAAGAAAACTGAGTCACAACCAGATTAAATAGAATTTTTGGTTGTTTCATGTTCATGTGCCCATTTTGTGTGCATTGATCATGCAAATGTTTCTCCTTTTTTCGGCAAACGCAACGTGTTTCGTGATTGAATTTACTTGTGCGCGTCAATGAAATGAACGATTCACACAGAAGGACTTCGGATTTAATTTAACCAACTGAAAAATTATTTGACGTAACAAATTAACTCGACTGAATAACAAAAAAGCAGCGTTGATGCAACTAATTTAGTGAAATGTTCGAGAAAGAGTTCTATTGTGTGTGAAAATGATTGTAATATGTTTTTGACACTTTCTCATTGCGCGCTTAAATCAGGTTGTCGGCGAATAGCCGGGGATCATGGGCACAAAAACAAATTGATTGTTTTCAACAGTTGATTTAATCATTTGGTGTGTGACCGGAAATCTCTCTCAATTGATTTTAACTGGCTTTGAAAGTCAGTAGCGGCAACAGCGATGGCGAGCTGTATAAATAATTCCTGGGGCATCAACAAATGCACTCCTGATGGAAATATTTAAATTAGTTTAACATTTAATTTTTTTTCAGCACATTTGAATAACAAAAGAGTTACGCCGGAAAAAACAGGGCAGGCGCCATTGATACGTCATTAGAATAAAATTGAATGTCATATCACATTTAATGACATCGCACTCAATATCCATGTACCGACCGTTTCAATCCCAATGAATTTTTTTTTGTGCGACTACTGCGATTCGTCACACCAGGGAAATTTTAATATACATTTTAATCATATTGTCACAATTTGTATCACGATTTTTGCATCAAGAATTCATTTTGCGACGCAATTAACTGTGCGCTATTTTTAATTCGTGAAATTTTATAACAGTCGACGTGAGCCCGTTGCAGTTGTGCGTTCCAATATCTGGCCATGAATCTCACTACGAACAAAGTATTTCGCATTCGAAGCTGCGTGTGTGTTCAATAAAATGCAGCGCATGAATGAGATTGGGTCAATTGGATTTTCAAATATTTGGACTCGATGTCATCACATTTTTTAAGGATTTCAATCATTTCGCAAGCATATTTTCCAAATGGACAATTCTCTTTTGGTATATTTTTTAAAGCGATTCAGGTAGTGTTCAATGAAAACAGCTCATTGGTGGGAACTTCTGTCTATTTTGCCATATTTTGTTTCTACAAATTTTATTGCTGCAAAACTGAAGTATTTTAATGACGGTAATTAGTGGATGAATTTTAATTGCCACTCGGCGGTCAAACCTATTCGGAAAATTTGGAAAACGATAAATTTGCACGGCCAGAAATAAAGAAATACGAAGAGCGAAAATTGCGTGCAACGAGATGTGATTTCAGAATGCGTTTAATGGTGTTATGCTTAATTCGAACCTTTTGCATAGGTTGCCAATGAAGAATCTCTAATAAAAAAAAATATGAGCAAGAATGAAAAATAATCGTGACATTTAACAGAGATAATTAGTGGCGACCACACCACTGGCCATTGCTTGATGGGGAATTCTTTGGATTCTCCAATTAATTACTGCATTGAAATCATCATTCATGGTATTTTATTGGGTAATCCCATGCTGTGCTACACAATATCACGATCTTGCTTGACCAATACGGATTTCGAACCATTTTTTTTTTAAATTGGAGACTCATTCATTTTTTACGTCAAACCTTTTTTCATAGCGATTTCAATGTTTAAAATAATTTTTTTGTCTCTTTTTCATTTGTTTGAATTTTTTCAATTTTTTTTCCATTTCTTTTGTCAATTTTTGAACTTTCTATAATGATGAGAATATCAGTTAAACAGTCTTTAAAATATTGATGTAGATTTTCTTCTTTTAGAAACATAAACGATTTTCTTCGCGCTTCAAGTCTGCTTTTCCCAAAACTTATGGTGCACTGTCGAATAATCCAATCAAAACTCACCTGGATAAGCCGATGAGTAGCCAATAATGGAAGCAGTTAACAGTAAAATTGTCGTTAGTTTCATAATTTTTTTCTTTTTTTCTTCGTTATCAAATCACATAAGAACAAACAAACGGAAAACTATTTTTCACTTGAGAAAAAATGCAATAATGTTCTTTTGTGATGAATAAATTTTTTTCTTCGAGGAAATCACTGTTTCGGGGTTATTTGATAACCAAAATTGCACAGAATCACAATAACAAACAACGTAACGAACAAAGTTAAATAGAAAGACTTTCGTGTTTAGTCGACGTATTTCCCTATATCTCGAAGTGTTCTGTGGTCTGTGGTACGCGGTCAGTTCGTGTTCAAGTTTTCACGTAGAATAAATAACGTTTATCCACTGCATTAACGTTAAATACCTCGTGTTGAAGCATCGAAGTCAGTGTTTTAGTGTACACACAAACAAACAAATGAACGCAATGTGATGAGTCGGAGCTTGTGGATGAGCGAGATCCGTTTAACAACAACGAGAATTGAAAACAAATAGCTCAGCACAACTCGCGATGAGTGAAACAGCAAACGAACGAACGAATGAAAAAATTCAAATAAAGCACAATTTTGAAACAAGAATCAAATATAATAAACAACGATGAGCATTATTAAGTGGCGGCCACCAAACGGCAGTAGCATCAACACGCTCTTCTCATATCGTGTGTCCACTACACCCAACCAAAGAAATTTAGATTGATGATCAATTCACAACGAATGCGTATGCGAGAGTATTGGTCACCATTGCCATTTATACGTTTGTTGTCATCATCATCATCATCGTCGTCGTCGTCAAAAAAATTCAGTGTAAATAAAACAACGGTGAACCACAAACAGATTTTTATTTTCGAAAAGGGGAAAAGAAAGCATATACAAATAAAGTGGACAAAACGAGAAAAAAAAATCCACGACTATTTAATAAATAACATTTGGTTGTGTGAGTGGACCAGCACGACTGGTTTGACAAAAAAAAAACCGTGAGGGATCTAGAACAAGTCACTCGCATTTTTGACGACCAACCACAGAGCACACGTTCGCTTTGATCACTTTCACGAGCGATCGCGCGCTGATGTGACGAGAGTTCTATTTTCAGATAGACCACTGTAGTGCGAATAACACATCAGTTCCTCTTTACCCAGAATTTTGCCATTCGATCAAAAATTCTTCCACCGATTCGTGTGAATATTTTTTTTTCATGCGAATCGGTCGTGAAACCTACGAGCCAAGTCGACACACAAGAAATATGATTCAGTTAAAGTACACCAAACAACAACGTGTGACCACCGAAGTCTTATGAATGAGTTTGCTTGGATTTCGTTTAGAAATGGAAATTTGTTTGTTGTGTATAAACAAGCTCAAGCATAAGAATCAATGTGCACACGCATTTTGATGCGGCAAAGTGCAATGCAACCTGTTTTAGTTATTTCTTGATGCTAAATTAAGCTTCGCTTTAAGCTTATCTAGCTAGTAAACCACATCGGCCGATGATAGCGACCACGTCTACATCAAAAATTATACACGCAGTGTTCGAAAAAAGAATGTTCGCGTGTCGCATACCGGTTTTCGTTCGCTTCAATTTGTTTTTATGCTTCATTGTTGTGCGCAAATCGTTCGGCATACCTCTTTTCTGTTGCGTTCACGTCCGAACTCGAATAAATCATTTGCATTAAATTCGTTAAGTGATTCGACTGTTCAGGCGTAGACGCAATGCAATTGCGGTTTCAATGAAGTCATTATGAATTTCAAAAATGAATCATTTTATGTGGAGGAAAATAGAATACACGGAACAAGCACAAAAACCGCAGAAGAGAAATCATTGGCGAGTCAAAAATTGATAGTTCCATGGAAATTTACATCGAAAATATTCGAGTAATTTTTGTTTTGTTTATGGGCTTAACATTTTAACCGCAAGCGCAAGAAAATGTGCGAGTTTTTAATTGCGTCATGTGTATTTTTGCGTTAAAATTCACCCGGTTCGTGGTATCGCCCGCATTGTCACTTATCGTGACATAAAATCACAATGAGTGCACAATTCGTTCACTTAAAAAAGCATTACCATCGAGTTCAAGGCCACTGAACGACATTATTTTTCGATCAACAACATTTTGGCTTGATACAAAATTTGATCAAACATCGATATGGAACTAATTTGAAGTTTTCAAAATACGAAAAACCTGTTATTACCGCAATTCAATTGACCTTGGCGAGATTGTTTTGATTGCGTGCGGCGCAGCTAAATCTTCATCAAATCGTCTATAACGGAAATGCTTTTAATTACTAATCGGAAAACGGTTGTTTGATGCAAACGAATAAAAATGATTTATGCGTCGCCACACAAAGCCATTCGTGCTTATCATTGCGAGAGAATGAAAAATTGCCACAGGTTCTCATTCTAGATTGATAGGAGCAGTTCTCACGACGTCTATGCACATTTACTTTTTGATCACGTTGACATTCACAATGTGCTTGCACAAATATACAACTATATTTTGTTTTATATCGCAAGAACGAACGAATGAGCTGAATGAGTAAATATTTTATGCACGTTTGCACATTCAACACGCAGCTTCGCAAAACACAAAACAATAAATAACATAAGAGATATTTTTTTCTGGTTTGTCAGCTGCTAATTAGATGTGTAGCTTAAAGACGAGCTTGATGCGTTTAATGTCATTACAGCTCATTGATTGTGCGTTCACCGGAAAAACTACAGAAATCGAAAAATTTATCATCAGTAAATTGGTCGAATCAGATTCTATGTCAGAATTGCTTTTTACGTTAATTCTGAATCGTTTGGATTTATTTAAAAAAAAGATTGGCCAAATGATATCTAAAAAAAGCATAGTCGATTGAGCTCCTGCGATTCAAACGTATATTTAACGCTATTTTTAAACTGATCTATAACTGATAACGTGTGAATCACACGGTGTGATATCCACATTAATTTGTCAAACGAAAAAGAAGAAATCGCCATAGAATTGAATTGTGCAATTGTAAATTTTATTATTTTGTTTCTCTAGAAATTATAACTGATTTTTCAACTAGTCCATTTTCAAGAACAGAGCGGATATTGGACACGGCCGTGTTCTCATAGATTTTGTAAAAAAGGAAAAAAATGGGTTTTTATCTAATTCAAATCCGCTGTTACTATGCTACTTCAATGATTCATTATGTGTACTCAACGACATTGCAACAAAGTATATAGTGGACTTTGCAAGATATCACTTATCGGCACTATCTTACGATAGAAATGTGTAATTAAATGCAATTTGAACGGATTTTAGCTCTATTTATAAGTTAATCATGATGTTTTCAAACTGAAAATATGCAAAACATCACGAACTTATTAAAAAAAAGCACACTTACACAATAATTATCAGTACAAAAAATGCATACAGAGCAGCTTTATGCGCGTTCATATTAGCATGTTAATTCATAGTGGACATTTGAGATTTACGTCAATGTATGAATTTTCAATCGAACATTGTATAAATGCTTGATAATGAAAAGAAATTTTGCAGTCATATTCTGACATTGAGCATAAAACGTTCATATCTTGGAAGTTCCAACAATTTCTCTATTTAATTTGTAAAATTCCATTGCAATTTTGTTCTAAGCTTAAATTTTTCGTTGAAAGTATTGTTCAAAGTGTGAAAAATAAAATATCTAGTTGTCATCAGAAAATTCTGTGAAAAGTGAATTTAAATTTATCCATTCGATTAGTTTAAAAAAAAGTGGAGGATATTGAAATGGCTAACAAGTATGAACAAAAATTTATCGATGCTGCCATTGCTGGTAAATCTAATTTTATTCGCTAAGAAATCCAAACAATGGATCAAAATTCTTTCAATTACCTTCTCAGGCAATTTGAATGATGTGAGAGATTTGATTGATAATCATGGAGTAGATGTCAACTTCCAAGATAACGAAAAAGGAGGAAAGGGTGCTTTACACCATGCTTCCGTTTGGGGTAAATCGAACGGATTGTAATAAAAAACAAACAAACAATTATTCAAAATTCTTCAACTTTTCTACACAGATCATGATGAAATTATCGATTTTCTCATTGAGCTTCGTGTAGATGTAAATCTGAAGAATAAAAAAGGAAGGAGTCCACTTCATCTTGCAGTCGTTTGGGGTCTTGAAGAAGGTATTTTCCTGAGAATTTAAACAACTGTTTGATATTTATTAATGAATCAAAACTTCCCTGTTCTTCAGATCGAATTAATAAAGTTAGAACCCTTATTCAACATGGTGCAAATGTACATCTAACAGAACATAAAGGGAAGAGCGTTCTTCATAGAGCTGCAAAATTTTCTAGTAAATCCAAAATGTACGCATTAGGAATTTAAACAAATATTTTATCGAATTTTTTTATTTTTCTCGGCAGATCCTGTAGAAATATTTGATATTCTGATCGAAAACAATGAGACAGTGTGTATGTGACAAAGGATGCTGGAGAAACTCCACTTCATAGGGCTGCTTGGGGACCCGACTACCCAGATCACGAGTATAGAGATAATATTGATCCGCTATTCTATTTTCAAACTGCGGAATGTCTCATTCGAAACGGGGCGGATGTCAATATCAGGGATAATGATGGAAGAACTCCATTAGATATAGCCATGCTAAGGGGTAAACTGAAAACATTTTTTTTTGAATTTAATACACAGAATATAATGACAGACTTTTTTCTAGGATATGAGCGCATCATAGCGCTTCTGCAACGTTGAAAACGACCTTAATATCGATGATCTTTGAATTTTTTCAAGTGATTCCCTGTAACATTCAATAGTTGGTTCCACAAAACTTATAAATTTTCGAGAATATTGACAAATTGTTCAAATAAAAATGCACAACACTTGCAATAAAACTCACTCTTTTCCAAAAAAAAAAAACATATAGCATCGAATTTATTTGAAAAACAAAAAAATCGAACATAGAAATACAATCACTCCAAAAAGTGTTCGTCCACTTGGAAAAAATTTATATTTTTGTTTTTTTTCGTGTTAAGCCTCATTGTAGCAAAGAACAGGAACAGAAACAGAATTCAGTACATCTGCAATAGAAATTGAAATAAGCAAAACAGGCTAGCCTAGGTATTCCTACAAATTGGGTATCAAAACCATTTCTGTCTATTGTAAACAACAGAAAGAAGTCAAAAATACTTAATTTGTTTTCTGTTGCCAACGACGTTGTTCCATGAAACAGTAACCAAAAATCTTCATTGAAATTAAAGATATAAACAATGGAAAAACATGTTTTTTGATTGATGTGATGATGAAATTTTAATACAGTTTTCATGTAAAATCACCAACAGTTTTTTTTTCAAAACGCCAATACAATAGATTCGTTGATATTAGTAGAACAGTGTGTCAAGTTGAAATGCCGATATGCGATATCGCCCAAAATGTATTTGTGGTTGTCGTCCTTTAGGAAAAAATAGAATATTTAATCAAAAAACCAGTTAAATATCAAGTTGAATTTTTATGACGAAACTGAACGAGCTTTTTCACACTCCCGCATTTCTTCTGCTCTTTTTGTGATTTGGAAACATGGAAACAAAGCGATTTGATATTTTGTTTGACATTTTTTCATCGTTATTCTTAATATATGTTTGCATATTTTATTGTGTGGAGATAAAAAAATATAAAGGTCAACCAAAATTTACCACCAAAGATATCGTAACACCGTTGGTTCATTTTTTGGTATAAATACGGCATCCTAGTTTAGGCAGAGCATAGAAGGCATCTTGTGCTCTTGTGATCAAAAACAAAAAAATTAACCAAAATGAAATTCGTTGTGAGTATCGAAAGAAGTTTATAAAATTTTCGATAAATTGAGTGAAAACAGAGTTTTGTGAATAGAATAAATGAAAATATAGAACAAGACCGATGTTTGATACAGAATTGAAGAAAAAAAAATAAGTGTGTTGTTTTGAAGTAAATTGAGTTCTAATCGGATCTTATTTTGATTTCAGGCTATTGCATTGTTCGCTCTCGTTGCTGGCTCATACGCCATCGACCCATTCGCCCTTAAATCACTCGTGGGCAGTCCCCATCATGCCAGCTCAGACGCCACCGCTCAAGTCTTGCGCAACGATGCCGTCGTTAACCCAGAGTCATTCAACTACGCTTATGAAACCTCAAACGGAATTACCGCCAAGGAACAAGGCCAATTGAAACAAATCGGATCAGAAGCAGGCATTACTGCTCAAGGTGATTACGCTTACACCTCTCCAGAAGGCGAGAAGGTCCAATTGAGCTACATTGCTGACGAAAACGGTTTCCAACCAACCGGATCACATTTGCCAGTCGCCCCAGCTATCCCTGCCCAAATCGCTCGTGCTTTGGAATACCTCCAACATGCCGCTCCACAAGCTCAATACACTCCATTAAAATATAATCCAAATGCGTTGAAATCTTTTGGAAAATAAACAATAGCAACTAAATCGTGTGAGATGAACTAGTCTTGTCGTGCACCAACTGCGATTGCTATCCATTCTCAAAATACAATAAACCAGTTGTCGAAATTATATAACAATTTTTTTATTCTTCTCCTCTTCCGTCTTAATTTCATTTTCTATTCGCTTACAGAGAGAGTACAACTCATTACACTTACTGTTTTTAATTGTTTTTTTTCTGCTGACTCATCATTGACAATAATCGAAAAAATTTATAAATAGTGCATTTAAAAAAATGACTGGTGTATTGTTTTAATTGTTGAGCGATGATTTGAGATCAAGTACAATGCCCTTGCAATCTCTGTGTCACGAAGCTGAAATTGACTCCATATCAGATGAAATGTTGTTCCGAACAAACGAAAAAGTCCACTTTATGCAACGTAATTCTTTTTATTTCAACATATTTTACATTGTTACATCACACTCTCATGCACTTAATTATGACTTGCATCCATTCTTAACTGTCATAGTTGTTTTTATTTGTGCGCAGTTGAAATATCTCTCTCCATATGTCACACATAATACCCGCCCATTCAATGCATTTACGTTGAATACAGTAAAACCCGTGTCATTCTAGTCCAACAAGTAAAATCATTCTGATTCAATCTGGAGTATGTTCGAAGGTCGTTGATGGTCAAAATGTCTTTCTTCTTCTTTC